ACAATTGAAGAACAAAGAGATACAGAGATCTGAAAAGTTCTATACAAACATATTAATCACAAATCGTATTTGTATTATCAAATGAAAATGTAGTAAACAGTAATGACCTAAAACTTCCAGCAAACAAATTCATTTAAAAAGTTGGAGATATAATCAGTATCTCTAAATTTTTACTTTTCGATCTACTTTTCACTAAAGAATAATATCAAAATGACAAATTTATTCTCCAAATCCAGTCATTCACTTTACACCACCTGTTCTTATTGTTGTTTTTTTTGTTTTGATTCAGAATCATACTGCCTCCCACATGTCGATCAAAAATGAGATACAATGGGTGGTAGGGGTTCTTTTTCTTTTTTACATAGTTTAGTTTTTTATTTTTATGCACGTTTTATATTTGTAAAATATAAAAAACTCAACTCGCTCTCTGTCCACACTACAAATCGAACACTTAATTTAAGCAACCAAAGCGGAAGCTGTGCTGGATTCGTATTTCCAGTTGGGTGGGAGGACACTCTTGGTCTTGTAGTAGCGGGCCAATCTGTGGATACGGGATTCAACCAAAATCAGACGGAATTTACCATCCTTATCCTTACGGTTACGTTCCAAATGCTTGCGGATGGCAACAGCCTTCTTGATCATGTGATACAAATCTTCTGGGATATCGGGTTTAAGGCCGACAGATTTCATGATGCGCAAAATCTTGTTGCCATTGACAAAGCGGACTTGAGCAACACCATGGGAATCACGAAGAATGATACCTGAAAACAACAACAGAGAAGACACAAATAAGCGCCACTGTATGACAACAAAAACGTCAACATAACCTCGAATGAGGCTATGCACCGAACCAAACCAGTTGGTTGGGTAGGTTTTTGTCAACTTACCGATTTTGGAGGGGGTCAAACCCTTCTTGCCCAATTTCTTGATTTGTTCCTTAACATCCTCAGCGTTAAGTTTCAACCATGAGGGAACGGTTCTTCTGTAGGGTAAAGCTGATTGGGAAATACCCTTACTGTAACGAACGAACAAAACAAATTCAACCGGTTAAAAATTATTTTACATTTCACTTATTAGCACCATGCCTGCTGCCATGCTTTCTGCAAAGGCTAGATCACATCGTCAAACAGATGAGCGGACATCGTATCACCAAAAAAGAAAACAGAACCGAACTGTCTGTCACATATCCACATGCGTCAATTGATTTTCGTTTTTTCTACAACTTTTTTACAATAATTTTACACAATTTCCATAGTCACGCATTCAGAAATTACATCCACTCATCTGGTTGGTCGATATTTAGGCATAATTCACTGAGAAATTGAAGAAAATCGAAAAATTACCCAGGAGCGTGCATACGACCCATCTTGTCAGATTTTTATTTCACACCAAAAAGAGCGAAACGGATGTAAAAATTGGAACACTATGGCAAGAAGCAGTGCTGCCAACAGCTGCAATGTCATTTTTATATGAAACGTGACGCTATACGCTGAACAAAATGAAAGCGTTTCTCAAAGGGGCTCATCAACATAGATTTTTTAGCAAAAAATATAATTATTTTTACAAAAATAGAAATATTTATGTAAAAAATAACGATATTGAAAACATATTTCTGTAAACTCATACCTATTATAAATAAAAATGTTTATACAAGTTCGAAAAGTTTGTGAAAAGTTCAAATTCCATAGGAACTAAACTAATTTAGAAGTATAAAATATTGCAGAGGCATGATCTATAAAGAAATTGTAAGTTTGATAACTAAAAGATTAGGAAAGCTTTAATAAAATTTTAAAGAAAGCACAGTATTCTCTGATTTATCATAATTTTATTAAAAAAAATTACTACGATAGAATATAGTATTATAATATTTGGGCTGTTCCCGTTCTGCAAGAATTTATTGTTCTTTACTATGATAACAAATTTTTCTTTATGATATCACAAAAAAATAGCAAAACTAGTACATTCTTGCAGTACGGGAACAGACCAATTGAGGTGAACAAGAAAACGCAACTCTATATCAGACTTCTTTATTCAGATATAAAATAAATAAATTATATCCGCTGATCGCAGATATAATACTAAAAACACTGTAAATGGCTAAGCATGCTAATCCATATAATTCATCAAATTCATTCATCAAACATATTAGTTAGCACAGTGGGTTTAAATTGTCAATTTATTTAAAGATATGCCAAATAAATCGTCATAAAGTAAGTTATACAAGGTAGGGTATGGAAATATGATTGGGATATTGATTCATCCACAAATCATAATTTTTTTACCAATGTTGTAAAATTTATCTTTAAACAAATAGATTTTAGAATATCTTTTATATATTTTTCAAAAAATTACATGCAAAGTCAGACATTTTGTATATGAATTTGACATACCAATCCACAATATGAAAACATTTTAATTTATTAGTTGCTATCATGGTATAATTATTACAAGGTAGGGCACAGCTACCAACTGATTACAATTTTTTCTCAAAGTGGATTGTTCCAATCAAAATACATAATTTGTGTATGTGTATGTATTGTTTTGAATACAATGTCAAATAAATTCAAAATAAATTGAAATATATTCAAGTTTAAGTCCCAATTTAGATTAGGCGAGTTTACTTGCGGCAAGTCTTTGTTTGCTGGAGAGAGGGGCAACATTACCAACATTCGACATTGAAAAAAAGTTTTTAAAACGTTCGTCTGGAAGTAATTACTTTGTTATGGATGAATCAAACATTTTATGGTATTCCCTATTGGTTTTTTGAAGAAATCATAACCTTTCATTCATTTTTCGCGTTTTTAGTTTTGTGTTGAAAAAATGTCAAATAAACACAAGCACTTGTTGCTTATATTTATTTTATATTTGGAAAAAGAGGCCACATGTGCATAGTTGTTTTTTTTTTTTTTTTTTTTGTTATTCACCTCAAGCTGCCCTACCTTGTATTATTGTACCATGGATGAATCAAACATTTTATGGTATTCCCTACTGGATTTTGTGAAGAAATCATAACCTTTCATTCATTTTTCGCGTTTTTAGTTTTGTGTTGAAAAAATGTCAAATAAACACAAGCACTTGTTGCTTATATTTATTTTATATTTGGAAAAAGAGGCCACATGTGCATAGTTGTTTTTTTTTTTTTTTTTTTTGTTATTCACCTCAAGCTGCCCTACCTTGTATTATTGTACCATGGTTGCTATGGCCTACCTTGAAAAATTGTACCATGGTTATGACTACCCCAATAACTTTGATACTTAAATTTTATATTTTTAAAAAGAGTTAATGTAAGCCGAGCGACTTATTTAATGAGAACAGTTGCAATTTTTGGAACAAAAACAGGATTGCATCGCATGCGATTTGTATGATGTTTTCGTGCGTGGTTTAAAAATAATTAAGTCGTTATATATTTTTGTATTGCAAATTATGTAAAATATAGCTTTTATTAGGAAATTCATGACGTAAAAGCACTAAACCCTGATTTTAAATTGTATGTAAATGCGCTTTAAGTTTGTATCGCGCTTAAATTTACTTCGAACGTGTTTAAAGACAACTTAAATGAGAGTGTAAATGTACTTTAATATTTTGTTCTCTTTTGAACATGCTTCATGCGTCTATACAAGGCAATTCGGTTTCAAAAATATTTTTTATTTGTTGTATAAAAATAAAATGTCAACATATACGAAATACACAAACCGAATTGCCAAAGACTTGCAGCTCGCCTTAGCATGTTATGGCTTTATTATTTAATTTTATTATTATGTATTTATTATTTTATTAACACAATACAATTTCGTAGATTATCACCACTGAACCCACCTCTATTGTCTACGAATTGCAAAAATACAACCCTGAACAACAAGTCATCAGTGCCGGCAACATTGGAATATTAACAATGCGGTTCTTATGCAGTCGCCATTACACCTCATTCGTAAATATTTCATTTAGTTATACCATTTTGAGTTCTTCTTTATCGGCCATTTTGTCTTCTCCCCCATTCGTTAGCAAGTGGAACGTTTTTCAATGTTGATTGGTTGCGAACAACCCTCTCAGTGCTGACAACATTGAAATATCAAAATTCTACCAAGCACGAAGAGACAAGAGACCAAGCGAAAATTACAGCGAGTGCACAAATTACTGAAAAAAATATAAAATAATGCTGTAAAAACGCATGAAAAGTTCATAAAAATATAAAAAAGTATTACAACTCAATACCAACAATAATCGTGCAATGAAAAGTGCTTAAAAATTGTGTTATTTGAATAGAAAAAAATCAATTGAAAAAGTGCCACAAATCAAACACCAAGAAGAGTTCGTCGGAAAAATCCCAATGTTATACTAGAAAAAAGCGAAGATACAAAGAATATATCTGAAAAGAACTTGCTACAATTAAGCAATCAGAAAATATCATATATTCTTTTAATCTGTAATTTAAAAGTTTGACACTGTTTTCCTTTGTAATAACATGGTTTCGAATTGATCAAACTGCTGACTTGTGATTTTTGCTGCTGTAATAGATTGGCTGCGGCAGCAGCCAGCCGCACGCATACTCTCAAACAAAACACGTAGCGAGAAAAGCCAAATTTGCGATAGTTGTACCGCATAAGCAAAAAGACTAAAGCCGTGCGGTGTCTGTGTACCTACACTCTATCCACATTTGTCATTCGCTACTAAACTAAATAAAGTTCTCAAACACCGCCACTTTCTCACTCACACCTTCATTGTAAATTGCCGCCCAAGCGACCGGCCAATTGTCCGTAGAGTATTGATGCGATCCGCAATGAAAACAAATCAAATTTGTTTCTACTAGTATTATTTACACCAATAAACGATATTAAATAATTGTCAATAGTTATTGAAGAAAAAACAATAATACCTAAGTTCAAAACGCCAAGATTCTTGTACCGTTCGTTGTATGTATACTAAAACGGAGGAAGCTACGCAGAAAATATCCCACATGTAACAGTTGTATCAAGGGGATTCAATAAACTAACATAAAACAGTGTTAATTGAATTGCAAGCCCATTAACATGGCTGAAGATTCCAGTGACTCTAGTGATTTGGATACCCGGCCATCCAGCAGTAAAGGTCGCTATTCGACCCGTGGTGAACAAAAGCGTAAACGTCGTATTGTTATGCGTATTGAGTTCGACGATTCAGATGAATCGTCGTCTACTACAGCTTCTTCTAGCGATGGTGAAGAAATAGTCATCCGCAAAGGCCAGAAAAATAATAGAAACAACAAAGTTATTGATGATGGCCCATCGTGTTCACGCCGACTTCGTAACCGGCAAAATCAGAAAAGTGTATCTGCCGGTACCGAAAACAACAGTAGCAGCGGCAACAACAAGCACAGCGCTGCTGCTGTTGTTTACGATGATGACGAAGATTCTGATGAATTTCAACGCAATGCTGCTCAGCGTCGTCAACGCGGTCGTCGATCCAATGTTTTAGATGTTGGTCTTTCGGATGGTTCAACGAGTGGCAGTGAGGTAATAAAAAATAAAACTTTTCATTATTGTATACACGTTTTTGTTTTTGTTGGTGTGTATAAATCACAAGTATATAATTTTTTTGTACATATTTCACAACTGAATTGAAATGAATAACTGTATGACATAGCTTGGTATTTATTATTTTAATAAAATATACAAGAATATTTTAGCTATGTGTGTATATTTTTCACCCATATTTTTAACACAACACTTAAAACCTATTGAAATAATCGGAAAGGCAGCACAGTTTAATATTTTTGTCCAGTGCATTTTTCCACTATATTGTATTAAGGGTCATCTGTTTCGAAATTTTGTTTACTTTTTGATGCCAAAAAATATTTTTATTTTCCACCCAAATTCCGAGTATAGGGAAATGCCGACTTTGTTATTTAAGGCGACATCATAAACATTTCAAAATCACAAATATTTTCGTTTTAACTCTAGTTTAGTAAAAACTATCAGATTTTTTTTTCCAGAGGTAGGTATTTTTTAACCTAATTATAGGGATCAATTTTTTTCTTGGGGGGAAGTAGGCGACATAATTTCCTTGTTTTTGTAGGGTTTTAATGCCCATATCTTTTGATCCACAACAGATACAGCCACATACCGCACAATTTTTGAAAGGACAAATTTGAATCAGGATTAGAGAGGGACCATAATGGAACCAAATCCGACTTTTAGCGAGTTTTTCAAAAAAATCGGGATCCACTGCACTTTTCTAATTTAAAAATTTGGGTTATCCTTTATTTGCGGGACATTTTTGATTTTGCTGTTTTTATTTCAGCAGTGTCTGCATTTATAGTCATTAAATTAGTATTTATGCTAAGAACAAGAAGAAACAATGACAAATGTGGTCTTTCTTTGTATTTTTTGCCTTTACTTTACGTATTTAAGCATGATTTAAAAAACAAATCCTCGACTTTGGTTTACCTTTTTTGCGGAAGTGCCCATATGTGAAGTTATTTGCAACAAATGCCGGTTATTTACAACATGTCGGCATTAGGAACACTTACCGTATAACTACCCACTGATTGAATTTGAATAATAATTTATTCATGTAAATAACAGAAAATAACGATTAAATAGATAAATTTTGTTTAACTTAAATGCGACATGTCGACTATTGGAGCATGACATGCCGAAAATTGGAAATAAATGCCGACTATTGGCAAAAAAAAACTATTTTACCTAATTGTCAATTTATTCAACTTTAATACGTTAACGAAACGTTTAAATGTGAAAATCCTTAAAGTGCCGACTACTGGTACACTTACCCTGTTACAATTTAATATTGTTAATACCATCATAGTGTTCAACGTAATACGTCTACTTTTTAATGTAGGCAATCGAATTAATTTTAACCTTTTAGGCAACACAGAATCACTATTCCAATGTAAACCTCTTAGTACAAACAGTAAGAATTGTTTCTGCACTATTGAGGATCCTATACAACATAACCATATTTTAATATAGGTCTAACAAGTGACGTATATAGTTATTTTGTTATATAAGCATCCGATAATTCTTCGGGGCACCGTTTAATAAAACCTAATACACCATAGGCTTTATTTACCATAGATATAACTGAATTGTTAAATTTAACTTTAAATCCGTTAAAATACCAAGATTGATTCTTCAGTTGATAAAACCGAACGGTTAATATTATATTGTCTTATCAGAGAAAAATTTTCTAGAAAAATGCATAGAAAAACTTCAGGTCTTTAAAAAAAGATGTTTTTTAATCTTTTTTTACAATAGTTCTGTTCCAGAAGCTTTTACTCGAAACCCGTTCCTGAACCCACAAAACTGGTAAAACATTGAACCAAATTTAAGAGACACAAAACAAAAAGGCGTTCTATTTGTAAACTTTATACTCGAAAAATTTGTCCGAGTAAAAATGTTTAACAGGAATGGCCATGATATGCTGTTATGTTGTTTTTGAATATTGCCATCTAATTTTGCCATATTTACTACATTAAACTAAAAACTACGTATTTATCAATTTTATACATAATCAATCATTGATTTATTTACTGTTCCAAAAAAGTAAATGCATTAAGTTTGATTTTCTGAAAAAAATATTTTTAGTAATTGAAATTGTACATTTCATTTTTTTTATTACCTTAATACTTAGTGGAGTAGTCTTATTTTGAATTACCGCAAAACATCCTTTTGGCATAGAATATATAAGTCACTGACATGATTCGATTAAAATATATGTCCATAATTCTTTCACTAACTCCCTTAACTGTTCTTCATTTGATGGATTTCTTTCTCGTAGGGATGCTTTGACAATTTGCATTAGGATTTAAGTTAGGCAACTGTCGCGGTTTCATTATTCTGAAACCAACCGTTATCTTATTGAAAACCCCATTTAAGCGGCATTTCCTCTTCAGCGTAAGGCAGTATGACGTTATTTAATATATTGGTATAAAGAATTGCTCTACTCTACCAAATTCTAATCTCCTTTTTAGGTATTATTTAGATAAAATTGGAATTTTTCTGATACTTTTGGCTTTTTTAGTAAAGCCTTTCTTATTGTTAGAGTGTAAACATCTAGGTTATATTCGTTTTTGACGCCAGAAGAGGTTGCAAATGGATCTTTTTTATATGGCGATTTTCTCCCTCTAGTTTCTGCTTTTAACTGCATTTTGACCATTTTATATTGGCAGCCAATAATTTCGACAATTTGTCTGTAGATTTTGTCTTGATTATAACGTTTTTTTATAATATCCTTGACTTCAGGGCTCTTCCCATTTTCAGTTCCAAATTTTATTTTTTATTTTTTGCAAAATTTGAAATATAACGGGATTATATTCGTAAGAGATAAGTAAATAAATTTGCATAGACTTTTAACTATAAAAAATTTAGGAGTGAATTTTTTTTATATATTTATCTATAAAATTATTATTGCATTATATTATAAAGATCGTCACAACGGCGAAATAAATAACTTGGCGGGTAATATGGACCAGTTGTGGAGTGCATGTGGTAACTTTCGATTTATTTCAATCTTGGGTAACAATGAAGCCCTTATTTAAGTGTACCATCCCATTTGCTGTACTTTGAAGGTCCTATTTTCATTACCCAACCTGAAGGCTTTGCATTACAAGTTAAATAAATTGACTTGAAGTTGCTGTAATCTGGCATATCGAGTTTTTTAAGGGTAGAATACATCCTCGCAGAAATGTTTTAATGGATCTATGTTTCGACATAATATCAAAAGGTCCCGTTTTTTTTAATTTGTATTGAAATTATATATAAACATATATTTTTGTTGTAGAAAATTAAGAAGCAGATAAATTCTTAATATTTTAAAAAACCAAAGTGTTTGACTCGTTGTTAAAAATTAGCTTCAAATCACCCATTTAGAATCAGACCTTAAATTTTTTTAATGAATTTAAAATTATATTTGATGTTTGTTTTCACTAAAAGGAAGACATATCAAGTTGCTGTTGTTGGAGTGGTCCACGTTAAGCGCATAATCCACACGTTACCCCAAGTTACTCTATGTTTACATTTTTTAAATTTAAATCCATTAAAATACTATTTAAATCATGTTGGAGTAAATTCGATTGCTTTTCAGAACTGTGGGTAGTGAATAACTTGACATCATCTGTATGCATTAAAAATTTGGAATGTATTACACAAGTTGGCAAATCATGGTGACTTCCTTGCGGAACACCTGAAGGTACATTAATCGATCTATTTTGCAAATAAAATTATATCCAGTTAATTGGATATAATCTTTATACTGAAACCTATATGACTTAATTCATATAGTAAAAGTTTATGGTTATATACCCTGTCAAAAGCTTTACCAAAGGCTGTGTAAATTGTGTGTTTCAATTCCATGTTGATATGGAATTAGGTTGAGGCGTTTGATAGACTACCAGACTTGTGTAACGGTACCATAAACGATTTCTACCAAATAGTAGGGAAATAACCATAATTTAGGGTATAATTAAATAGCAACGTTATAGGCGTTGCTAGGTACACCATCGGAGCATGGGCTTTTAATTGGTTTCAGACTACATAAATTTTTAGCAACATCTTGACATTGTAAGAAATGCATATATGTTTCTTTTCCGATTTTTGAAGAAGAAATCTTCAGATTCTTGCATTTTTCCGACTCCTTCGATGGGTCTATGCCGCAATCACTAAAAAACTTTAATGGTCCCTCAGAGGGGTCATCGGAGTGATACCCTAGAGTGTGCATTTGATTGAAGATTAGAGCTCAGTTCTTCTGGTTGAGTTAGTTCATAGATCTATAGATTGCATAGTGGAAGTAAATTATGAATCTTCTTGTTCGAAGAAGCCCTTTCGCGTTAAATAAAAATATTAAATTAAATCATATAAATTGTTTTTGTAGTTAAGACATCTTCTAGGTAAATTACAATATTAAATTCTCCGGGGAGAAGCAACAATTGTTATTACGTCTAGATATTCAGCATTAGTTGTAAAAATAATAAGTGTACTTTTTATATTAGGGATGACTTATTGCCAGGTACATAAATGCGTTCCCCCCTCTGGCCTTTAATTATAAATATTTATTTCGTCACACATATTTTTCTGAGAGAACCTTAATGTTTGTAAATTGTTCGTCTCGAATCTTTACACTCCGAATGATACATTTCTACAATATTGATAAATAATATTGTCTTTGATATGCCTTCTATCTAGTGCTTCTTTGATTTTATAACTTGAGTTACTGGAGTCGGCTGCGAAAATTACAAGTGGATATTCCAGCCTCTTGTAGTTGGCATTTCTGTCCACCACCCCTGCTGACTATGTGGTGGCACTCTTATATGTCTTCTTTGATTTTCGTGTATGTCATTATGAACAGAGGAATAAAATCTTTTGGGTTATGCTTGAGCCTATGGGTCCGAATCTGAGTGAAAACCATAGAAAACTGATTGCCATGAAGTCGCTTAAACCCCATAATTAATACATTTTTTGTTTTAAGGGGACCCCCCCATTCTCAGGGTCAAAAATGTTGTTGATATAATTCGAATCTACACTAATTAAAGAATGTCCCTACAAATTTCAAATGAAAATCTCAACAACTCTTGAAGATATAGCCGATTTATTGTGTCAGCATCAAGTGACGGCTGAAGTGCTTCTCAAACATTAAACGCGTTTTTCTCTAAACATTTTTTTGCGAATGGCGGGCACGATAATTCAAAAACTAATAACCCAATCGATTTCAAATTTTTACACGTTTCTCTGTGAGTGTATAGCTATCGTATGAAATAGGATAAAGCCAATCGGTGAAGATCTTCCTTATTTTTTAACTTGGTTTTTGGTCAAAAATTGGCGATTTTCCAAAAATATTTTTTCAAAGGTCCGCCATTTTGTTAATTTTAGAGTGAATTTTCGAATTCCGATGTTCCAGTGAGGAGTTATCATGCCCGCCATCAAAAATAAGGATTTTTCTTTAATTACAAAAAACAACAACAAAGCAATAACAAAAATTTTTTGTAAATTATTTTTCTTCTATTTTAAATCTTCAATTATATATGTGTAAAGTTACAAACCTTAACAAGCATTGGTTTTGATTTACCAGCCCATTGAAAATCTTGAAAAAATAAAATCGAGAATGGGAGGCGTTCCCTTAAATTAGTCTATACGGATCTGATCTAGATGTAGGAACTCATATACATTAAAGAATATGTACATTAAAATAATATGTATTAAAATCCACGTTTAAATTATAATAAAAAAAACAATCACAGTAATTTCGTTATAGCTTTCGAATGGGTTAAGTTCTTAATTACTTTTTTGTAGGGATTTATTTAGGTGTTCCCCAATCCCTCTGCAAATTTTTGTAACCCTAGACAATATGTGCCATCAGGGCGACTCGTGTAAATTAGCAACTACCCATTGGTTTTCCTTTAGTATACAGCGACTAAAACAATGATTATTGCTAATTATTCAAATTTTATGAGTTTAGATATTTTATGTTAGTTTATATATGTAAGTCAATTTAGAGTTGTAATAAATCAGTTCAATTCGATTATAGAAAAAAGTGTCAGGCCTAAAGTGAAGAATAATTTGAAAATAACGGACAATAATCGTTGTTTTTAATCGCTTTATACCAAAGGGAAGCCAAGGTGTTTCCTGAATTCTACATGTCGCCCTGATGAGCCCACGTTGTCTAGGGCTACAAAAATTTGTATATTTTTTGAAATAGATAGAAAATCGAGTACTTGTTTTGATTGAATAGTTATGGCCATTTCAGAGAAAAAATGGAAATATAACATATTATATTACTGTATTAATTTTTGTTGTAGCAAATAGCCTACATATTTTTATTTTAACATGGCTACTACTACCTGTAATGTCTGGAAGAAAATTCCTACAACAACAAAAAACTAGATTTAACAACAAAATCTACTGAGTCTTGCTTTAGTTTTCCTTTAAATACTTGCTTATGTTTAAAGTTTATTTATAGCATAATCTTTATAATCAATAATAGAAAATATCGTTTTAAACTCCCACCAACTTGATTTTAAGTACCCTAGCCCTAGCTACACATGCCTAATACAATTGAGTGTATTATAGATTTTTAGTACAATTACGATTCACTTTTTAAATAACCCCTATATTACGGTATCTGCCTTTCCGCGTATATCTTGAGATCATATTAAGATTGCTTCCAAGGGACATAAACATATAAATTAAATGTTGATTCAAGGAATTCATTTAAACGGTAATATTCTCTTGTAATCAAGACTTCAATGGGCTCACAATGGTGGCTATTTTGGATTCTTCTATATAAATTCTAAATAAACAAATCCGAAATTTTTGGATTTGAACTCCCTTATTGATTGTTTCCAATTTGGGTTCTGTAATTACCACTGCACCACAACATTAATGTTTGATTTATTAGATAAACCAGAAGACATCTAGACAGTAAGCATCAGCGCGTTTTAACAGTAAACTTTGTCTAAATTGATTATAAACTTCTGTTAGCAAAACTTTACACAAAATTTAATTTTTCTATCACCACGTGCAACATAATATCATCCTTTCTCAATGGTCGATCTCAATTCGTTTCAGTAAATGGAGTCGCGTTTAATTTTTGTAACATTTCATCTGTAGTTTCATTAGGTTCTATATGTGGTCCTCTTTCATTTATGCTCTATGTGAATGGCTTACGAATTATGGGTTTAAAACTCTGAGCATTTCATTCATTCATGAAGATGTCCGTCAAATTTGTGTCTGAGCTTCAAGTAATAATATTCAGATTAATGTAACGAAAACAAATTGCATGATATTTGGAAACAATAGTATATCCTGTGAAATAACTGTTCAATATAAAGCAGTTTCTCTGATGTGATTTCATGTCTGGGCTTCGAAATGTATCCGAAAATTAAATATTCGTTTCATATTTCAAATGTTATTTCAAGGTTCCAAGTTCTTGATTAAAACTTTGTATTTTTGGACGTCATATTGCCTACACATATTAAATACACATTTGCCCGATTATTATTAATGTCACTGATCCTTTATGGTCTTGAAATTGACTGACTTGAATATTTTTGATATTGAGATTTGTCTATGGTTACAATTTTTATTGTAAGACCATTTGTTTCGTCTTACAACAAAAATACAATAAAAACACTAAAATGTGCACGAAGTTTCATTTTGAATTGTGGCGAATATATGATTTCCTAGAATATGTCTACAAATCTATGAATCATCTTTTTTCGATTTTAAAGAATACCTTCGAATGTTTTGTAGCTGGTTCTATTTATTATAACTATTAAATAATTGTCATAAATAATTCCTATTAAACATAATAATATGACAAAAACTTATATTTATGGAATAATGGAATAATAATAAAAATGTTTTTGAAGTACAATGGTTCTGAACCCCTCCAACTGAATAGTCTTTAAGATAACATTAAGCTAATACACTGTTAGTTTTAAGCTTTTGGAGTAGTTTATATTTTGTTGTTTTTTGAATCGTTGGCCCTTTGGGCTAGATTCTCGTTTATGAAATAAATTGAAATTGAAATTAATTAAAATTTTCTATTCTGTTTTTGTTTTTCTTTACAGATAACTAAAAAATCGCGCGGTAAAGCAAAAAAGAAATATATTATGTCAGAGGATGAAATCGATGGCGGCGGAGGCACCATCCAACAGCCGAAAGATGAGAACGGCTTTACTTCGGACAGCAGCAGCAATGATATGCTGGAGAAATGTCCAATTTGCTTATTATCATTTCGACAACAAGAAATCGGTTCGCCATCGTCGTGTCAGCACTTGTTTTGTGCCGCTTGTATTGAGGCATGGTCGAAAAATGTCCAAACTTGTCCAATCGATCGTTTAGAATTCCAACGTATTATCGTGCGCGAATCGTATGAAAATCGTCGAATTGTTCGCGAAATAAACGTTGATCCGAACGCGGCTAAAGAATTGATATTGAACGACGAAGATGAGGAATTCGATGATGTTACGAATTGTGAGATCTGTGGTAGGCCAGATCGTGAGGATGTGATGTTGTTGTGTGATCAATGTAATCAGGGCTATCACATGGACTGTTTGTCCGAACCCTTAACCGAAATCCCGGAAGGTTCATGGTATTGCGATAACTGTGCCGATTCTGAGGACGAAGAGGAAGAAGATGAAGATTTGAATATGTTGTATGAAGATATTAGAGATATGGGAATACCTGAAACTCATCTGCGAGTCAGGGAAGTTCATCAGCCAAGAATTCTAAGAACTAGACAGAATGAACGCATTCGCGCTGCAGTTCTAAGACGAACTAGGGCCAGTGTATCGGCAATGGAAACGACTACCACCACTACTACGACCAGTACAACACAAAGAGGGCGTCCACGTACCACTACGACAACAACTACAACAACACGCCGTACTACAAACCGAAGCGTTAGTGGCTCTACACGGAAAAGACGTAGAGTACAAAGAAGACGAAGGCCACGACAGCGTACCTATGTAGTGGAATACGATGTCAACAATTTCGATGAGAAATTTGCTATTAAAGCTACAAAGAAGGTCATCAGAAAAAGACGTAAAACTCGTCGATCTTCTAATAAGACAAGGTCGTCCAGATCCGGATCCAGACGTGGCACTCGCTTGACAGCAAGCCAACGTTTAGCTGAACAGATGGGCGTTAAAACGGATCCCACATTTACCTCCCATCTGTCGGGAACAAGCGCTGGCCTTTCCATAACTGGGGGCGTCAATGATTTAGAATATTTTTCGGATAGTGATCCTGGTGGAAATATTGAAAGTGAAATCCACATAGAGACAGGACAGGGAACAGCAGTTCAGACATCCGTTCGAATTTCAAATTATGGATCGCAAAGATCCCGTAAAGGTTTGCTACTAGGTCGTGTTGGTCCACGTCACGTGCCGGAACCGGTGGCTAATCGTGATAATGCCAATTCGGACATTTTGTCGAGTATAATGGATTTACAAGATCGTTGGCATAGCGCCAGTAGAAATATGGAAAACGTACACATCAACACCGATGGCACGTTGAATTTGCCCCGTTCAGAGGAACGTAACAGGAATAATGAACCACATACCTCTGCTCCGCCAGATCAAACGACCACACCACCTAAAAAATCAAATGATAATCAACAAAGTGAAAGATCTGCTGAATCACAATCCCCATCAAATAGCTCCCAGCAGAATGAAATAACCCAAGCCCCAATGTATTCTCGTGGTGGAGGCAATCCAAATTTTAACTCTGGTGGCGGCGGTGGTTACAATAACCGTTATGGTGGGAATAATCAAAGTAACTACCGTGGTGGTGGCGGTAACCAATATCGCCCCTCTGGCGGTGGTGATGGCGGTCGTGGCGGAGGTATGAACTTCAATATGGTCGGTCGTGGTAATTTCAACTTCAGTAGTGGTGGACCATCAAATTACAACAATCAAAATAATCAGTCAAGTCCAGGATTCACACCCTTCCGACAATGGAATTACAATCAGCGCAATCAACAGAACGATGAAAACAACCAAAATAATAATCGCCGAAATTCCATGCCGTTTGCTGGTGGTAACAATCAACAGAACGATAACAACAATCAGTCGTCCTCACAACCAGTATCGCAACCACAACAACAATCACAAAATCCTTTTAGTGGCCCACCGCCACAACCCTGTTTCGCACCACCGAATCGGCAACAGTCGCAGCCACAGCGTCCACCAAATGCTGCCAGTTCCGATGATCTATTTGGTGGGCTGCCACCGCCCGTGAGGCAAATACCTGCACCAGTTGTTCTGAGTGTGCCACCTCCACCAACACCACCCGCAATGATGGTACATCCTCCAGGTGGCGCTCTATTTCAATTGAATTCAGATTATGGACGAGATGACGACTCAAATTGTCCCAATTTCGCAATCTACTCACAAGAATCTCAAGAAGTCGCCAAATCAACTGAAGCCTATCCAGAAAATAAAGCATCTTCAAATTCTGCCAATGAGGCTAAGGTATGATGTGTATTATTTAAAAAAAATATATTTCTTTTTTTTAGAAATGAAATGGAGTAAATTTTATTCTGCAATTTTAATTCGTCGATATGTATTTTTGTCATAATTCCATTTTTGTGATATGAAGTAATTTCATTATTGATTTTTCTTCAAAGCATTTCAACTTGCTGGAAGTGTTTTTTTTTATGAAATTTACTTATAATTGGTATGAAAAACTGTCGATGATAGTTTTTTGGGCAGAACTATTGGATATATGTTTTTGTAATGTCCATGAAAGAGTTTCATATATTTGGGTAAAATGAAATATTGAAGAAGAACAGACATATGAGTATTAAAAAAATATATAAACTACTTAATTTTTGCAATTTTTTTCCTTTCGATCTTGCACGGGACTCAGATAATGAATTAATAATTTGAAATGCAGCTTGTAGAATAATAAAATCACTTGGATTGGCTTTAATTTTTTATAAATTATAATCAGTGTCTAAAAGGACAAGATTACAAAAATTCAGTTAGACTTTGTAAGACAGATATCCGGCCATTTCAAATAGTTCAAAGGCATATATGGAAATTACACTATTCTAACAGTTGTCCTTTTAAAAGAACGCCAAAAATATCCGGCCATTTCAAATAGTTCAAAGGCATATATGGAAATTACACTATTCTAACAGTTGTCCTTTTAAAATATCCGGCCATTTCAAATAGTTCAAAGGCATATATGGAAATTACACTATTCTAACAGTTGTCCTTTTAAAAGAACACCAAAAATGACAATAACACAATACATATTCTCTCCTAGCTTCATGGTAAAAAAAATTTTATTAAAAAGTATTTTTTTTATTATTAAAATACTTAAGTTTTAAAATTAAATAAAATATGTTGAAGAAAAAATCTCTGGTCTTATCAGGGTTTAATTACAATACGAAACATAAATTCGAATTAAATTAGAAAATGTACATGTTCGGTTCTGCTACGAACTATGATTATGTTGAGGAAGATCTTTACCGTCTAGATTAACTGTGTTAAAATTTGGAACCAATTGGATTCATAGTTTTAGAGTAATTATATGACCGCCAGTCGTAAAAAACTACTTTCGCGCTTCCACCATAAATCGGCTTGAAATTTTTAAGTAGCATTTTTGAGTAGTTATAGGTTCTCGGTATAGAGCTGTTAATATTGAACAACAATTCTTATCATTTTTAATTATTTATTATTTAACTAATAACATGTAGTAAATAATGAGAGATTCACATTAAAATGAAATATGTAGAGGTGATTAACCCTTGAGCCGGATTTTTTTCCGTAATCATAGAACAATTTTCTGTTCACAGATTTAATGCAACTATCCTAAATAGGATATGAAAAAAATTGACATCGCTACATCCAGTACATACAGTAAATTCTTTCTGAAAAATAAAAGCCCATATTTAGAAAACCAAATTCAAAATTGACGGAAATTTTAAATTATTCTCTATGTTCTGTTTTATAAGAATCAAAAATAATTCTGATGGCAGAATTCAAACGATTCGAATACGAAGCGTTTTATACACAAATTAGTACTGTACACATGTTTGCCCTCTTCTATATATTGAAAAGTTCATAACTTTACCAAAAATTTTAATTTTGCAGATTTTTATTTTTTTATGTATCGTCCATATTTAGGTATATGAAATCCAAAGAATGTATATCTGCTACCAGAATATTAAATATAAGTTCTAAAACATTGTGTTCCCTGTGGGCACCATTGGGCCATAAAGTGTTAAGGGGACGTGATTTATTGTGTCAGCATCAAGTGACGGCAAGAGTTCTTCTCAAACTTTAAGCAGCGTTTTTATGAATGACGGGCACGATAACTCAAAATCTAATAATCTAATCCGTTCCAAATTTTAACATCTTATTCTGTACATACATAGATATCGTATGAACCAAATTTAATCCGTCAAGATATTCCTTATTTTCTTACTTGGTTGTAGCCAAAATAAAAAATTTTCTTAAAATCTAAATTCATAGGTCCGCCATTTTGCTAATTTTTGTGCGAAGTAAATCCTAGTTCATACCGGATCCAGAAATGTATTCTTTCGAATGCCGTTGGAATTTTTGGATTCGGAAGTTCCAGGGTCGGAAATCATGCCCACCGTCGAAAAAGATTTTCTTTAGTTACAAGAAAACAGCAAAGTTATGTCAATTCTTGTCCTTATCCTGTAAGTCTTCAAATGCAGATATGCTTACAAGTCTTCGATATAATGCATGTTCATTTGCCAGCGATCATTTGTTGTGTGGATCGCTCATATTTTTTCTGTAGATATGTTATTGTAATGTAAGTTGTATTTTACAATGCTTTAGGAGATAATTGTTTCACTAGTAATGTTCCAGTAAAACTTATGGGTCGATTACGGATGGCAACCATAGTTTAGTTGCGATGCCTGTTGCCAAATTTGCATTATGGATGGCAACTGTTGTCAACTTCAGTTGCTTCAAATATAATTTTTCGGCAACCATTTATTTCTGGTTGCTGTTTATAATAACTGAACTTCGTAGGCTTCCCATAATGGTTAATATAACTACAAAAGAACAATTTGCGGTCCTTATTGCCCGGATGGAAGCTCAACCAAATGTAGCACGCGGCGTGCGGACTTTTGGTCAAACCAAAGCCACTATCGATGACGTGTGGAAGGCCATTTCAGAAGACCTTAACTGCTATGGCCGGCCAACCAACACGCATTCCAAATGAATGGCAGAAAGTGGCGAACATCTTCTATTGTGATATGTACGTGTGTATCATCAATACATCCGACAACACCCTGGAACTTAGTTTTCGAATAAAAAAAGTTATTCTTCCCTTTTTCCTCCTCCGTTAATTTGGATACAATCAACTTCGGCGAAAACCACCGACATTGTCGGTTGAGCCAAGGCCAAGGTTGAAGTCATTGCTATGGGACTTTAGAAAACTTCCCTCCACAAAAAACATCAGAGGTGCATATATTTTTAAGAGAGGAGGAATTGCTGTTGACCGCCAGCCTTTTCGGAAATCAGGGTTTAAGGCTTCATCTATGTACACAACGGCGTCTTTTGGTAGTCGAAAATACGCCTTTAAGCTAATATGAGCAGTTGATCGAAAATTTCTCTAAACGTCAGCATCTACTCACAGAACTGATGGTAGTTCTAATAGATTTATCTTTTAAATGCCTTCTGGCACACCTTGTACATAATTTTCATCATCAAAAAATAGTTCCACTGAGCTTATCATCACATACAATTAGTTTTTCTGAAATATTTTATTAATTTTTTTGTTTGTTTACAATATTTCTAGTTGTAGAAATGTCAAAACAGTATTATCGACAGCAACAGAGAAAAGTTGATATTCATAATGTTAAGTTTTATTTCAATTGCGTTGCCAGTTGAGCTCGCAACTGGAGTTTGGTTGCTTTCCATAATCGACCCATTAAATTACTGCATATAGAAATTCCAACGTCAGATCGGCTGTAATGCAAATTTTGATGTTGTTTTCCGTACCGGTACATTTTTGTATACATTTATTATTGGGACTGTATTAGTACAAATCTGTTGTTGATGTTGTTGTAGCATTGACCGAGTAAGACACGGGGCGTTTCGGATCATAGACCCCTCAGTTCGCTTGAATGATTGAGATTAGGATTGGAAAATTGTTTTATGGTTCAAAATTCCACAGTATTTTGTTAAAATTGTTAACTGTGATAACATGCTTTCCAATATATGTTTTTCGAACAAATATTCCGTGGTTTGAAAAAAAACCTTTTGGCAAACATTTCCTTTCATAATCTGTTGGAAACACATTCGAACTTCCATATGATATTTTAAGCTATTTTTACCAGTCAATCTGAAAATCGACAATTTTGTTTGAACCTACTTTTTGCATTATACTTGTTAAAGACAAAACCAATCCAATAAATTGTTCCGTGCAATGTTTTCGTTCAATACTCAATTCAATTTATTTTTCATTAATGAGAACTTAGCTTAAAGGCCAAATATGCATGAAAAAATCTTTTCTTTCTCTTTAATAAACTTAACAATACAGCTGACATTGTTTTGTATGAAAAATATGTCTTAAAACTTCGCTACCAGGAAATGTGTTCGCCATAAAAAAGTTCGTATAAGCGTACTCGACTGTAATACCTTAAGATGTTGTGATTTTTGTTGTTGTTGTAGCATACCTAATGTTTTTACACAATGGACTGAGGTCACAGTCGTTAGCTGAGCATTTCGTAGACTCCATTGTCATGGAATCTGTTGTGAATCCTTTCTTTTCTTTAATATGGAATTTCAGGCCAAAAATTGAAGTATTGTTGGTCTAAAAATTATTTTTATAATTTTCCTACTCTATGATATAGCTTATCTAAGGTGCTTTATCGAATCGTCCTGAATATTAGTAACCTTCGCAATATGAATGTAATATGGAATCTGTACAACTTTCGATTTTCTATGTTCTTCAAATGCAGAATTTTTCACGTTAAAATTATGCGTTATTTAAATTGCATACCATAGACCTTTAAGGCCAAATTGTTCTTAATTACGAGAATTAGTTGTTGTAAGTAGTGATAGCATCCATTTCTAAGAAAAAGAAGTGTGTAGTATATATCTATATCTGTCCAATTTTTATTAATCTTCTTACGATGTGAAACCTTTATATCCCTACCTCTCTTTATTCTTACTCATTTGGAGTTTATCTTTGATGATTCCTATGGTGATTTTGCCAAGAATATAAAGAATGCAGACGTGTGCTCTGCGGTCAAAAGACTTAGGAGATTCTGCATCCATGGCTTAATCGCGAACTACCAAATTTTTTCAGTAGACTTTATGCCAGGCGACTGTAGTCCTGCTAATATTACTATGTCCAGAAACCCAACAAAGTCTAATAAAATATGATGACTTGCATTCGAGTGCTCAATCCGAACCAATTCCCCTAAATCGGCATCTTTCATGGATTTTCTGGAAAACACTACCTGAAAATATGAAGTCCATCAATGCTCTGTGACTCTGAGTTTCACTGCCAACTTTGATTTGTCTACTCTTGTAAAATGGTTCCCAAGATAAGCTTAAAAATTTTTATTTTATCTTGCTATTGATTTGTGGATAATCAATTTTCGACAAAATGTGATGTGAGGTCGTAACAATGAATTACGAAAAAAGAACTTCACTTGGTTTTTTTTTTTGTCACAGGGAAAATATTTGAAATTTAGCGTCATCCTCTCAAAGGTATTTTTTGCGAGGATTTTTTATTGAATATTATTTTGAATGTAGAAACACACAAAAATACACACAACTCCCCCCACAAAATGGTATACTAACCAAGAATATCATTTTCTTTTTCCTTACACACAAATTATCACTTCTCAGGAAGACGATGAAAATGAAGATTTAGTACAATTAGATGATGACGAAGAGACACCGAATCAACCACAAATTGATCCATCAGAGTTGTATGAACCAGAAAATCCGACAGAAGAAAATGATGATGAAGATGTTGATGAAGGAGATGATAAAGATACAGAAAAAAGTATCAGCAAAGATGAAGCTGCCAACAAAAACGATAACAACAATGATGCAAATAATAAAAAGAAAAATATAGATGATGAGGAAGATGGTGACGAAGATGATGATGAGGATGATGGCGATGTTAATAAATATAAATTGGACGATGAATCTGAAGGGGAAAAGGAAAATGATAATGAATCTGTAACAGAAAAGGAAACAGCGAACAAGAATACATATGAAAAGGGAGACATAACTGACAGCGAGGAAGAAATGAACAACGAAAGAGAAAGAAATAAAACAGCCAAGACAAAAGGTAGGTCCACTGATAATGATGATGAGAATAGCAATGAAAAAACACAAAAATCAACAAAAGATGATGGCGACGATTATGATGATGACGATGACAGCGATGACAATGAAGACGTTACCGGTAAACGTCCTAAAAAGCAATCACATAATTCGGGAAAAGACAATGACAATGATCGCCGGCCAAGAAATGAGAACGACAACATTTCGGTAAACAGTAGTCGCGACGATGATACATCAAAGGGTCATACACCCACGGTTCCATACAATAGAAGCAGCACGGTACGTTCACCAAGCCGATCTAGGTCACCGGAAAATGAACCATCTGGTGCCCACCATGGCAAAGGCGGTGCTGTAATTGAATTATACGACGACAGCGATTGGGATGAATTAAATGCCGATAAAAATGCCACCACAAAAACTAAAGATAAAACTTCACAAAATAAGAATACTGAAAATACTGATGAGGTGGAACCAGATCGTTCATATACACCATGTTTAGATGAGAACAATGATCCCGAAGTGGTTGAGTCGAGGACAGAAGAAACTCCAATTGTCATTCCATTAACCCCGGAAAAGAATTCAAGTAAAAACGATGCTACGGAGAAACCCAAAGAACCCGAAGTAGAGTTAATCATATCAGAGGAGGAACCCGACACGACGACATCTCGTAAGAAGCGAGGTGGAAATCTTTTGGATCCCCTTGACGATGCCAAGGGTGCAAGGTTCAAAAAAGTCAAAAAGCGTAAGAAGCGCAATTATCGGGGAGACAAAGCTCCATTTAAAAACCGTTTCAGGAACAGGTCTATTTCTCGTTCCCGATCTCGTAGTCGTTCGCGCTCCCGTCGTCGCTCGCGTTCTCGTTTAAGGTCATCTCGCTCGCGCTCACGGTCACGTTCATATGGATCATTCCGATCAAGATCTCGCTCGCCAGGTCATGGTCGTCGACGTGGCAGATCACACAGCCGGGAGAAGCGCCGCTTTGGCAGCAACGGCAATTTGAGAGGCAGAAGTTGGGACGGTGGTCGTATCCCCAGAAATAAGCCTAAGAGACGTGAGATTCCACGATATGATGTTCGCCATGTAGTTGCGAATAAACCAGTCAGAGATCGTTTTGGTCGTGACAATTCACGTTCAAGAAGACCTAGTCGATCATTAAGCCGACGACGAAGTCCATACTCAAGATCGCCATTTTCACGTTCCCGCTCGCGTTCTCGTGTACGCTCTAGAAGGCGCTCATTCTCTCGTTCAAGATCTCGCACCAGATCACGAACACCACATTCACGATCCCGTTCGAGAACAAAATCTCGCTCGATTTCTAGGTCACGATCTAAAACTCGTTCACGCACACCTTCACGTTCCAGATCCCGTATTCGTCGGCCCAGCATTAGCCTATCGCCATCACCGCAATACAACCGCAGACGTTCCTTGTCACCTCTTCCTCGCCGCTTTAGTCCAGTTCGTAGGCGATCGATTTCTCCAAGAGTTAGGCGATCTCCAATGCGACGAAGGTCTCGAACTCCTCTGCGAATTATGAGGTCTCGTTCATTATCTCTAGGCCCAGATCCTCGACTTAATGGCCATAAAGGTCCACAACGTTTCAGAAGTATATCTCGTCCCCGAAATCTTAGCAGGGACAGATTGCGCTCCAGATCGCGATCACTTTCATTATCACCCCGCTACACCCCACAAATGAACCGACTACGATCCAAGAGTCCTCCACCAAAAGGCAAAAAGAAAAAGTCTAAAGATGCAAGAAAGAAGAAATCGAAACGACGATTGCCAAGCTTAAGTCCTTCGCCGAATCGAAGGATTGCCCGACAAGCGGATCCGTTCGCTCTCGAGAAGCCATCAAAGAAAAAGCGGCGTCACATGCCCAAAGAAAAATCACCGATCGACGACCATGAATGGTCCCCTTCACCAAGTCCCGCACCACCTGTTATCGCTAGCAATGTCGATTATCAGCAACCGGAAAAGAATGTGTCTTGGACACCGCCAATGCATTCGCCAATTTCCGCTCATTATCCGCCGATTATCAGACGCTCTGTTTCGCCTGGAAGTCGAAAAGAAAAGACAAAACGCTCCAAAAAGAAGAAGAAGGAAAGCTCTAAGCGAAAAACACTGCGCAAAGAAAAGAAACGCAGACGGCGTACAGAAACACCCGAACCCATTCCATCGAAGGAAGTGTTCGCGTCTGGTAATAACATATTGGTTAGCGTAAGTTTCAACAAAGAAAATACAACAAGCGCCGCACATGGACAACAGACCATCGTCACATTGCCTCCCAATCGTGAGGACCTGCTTCCGAACAGACGCGTTTCCATCGACCATGTCAACAAGAGCAGCTCTTCGTCAAAGAAACGAAAGGAAAAGCGTAAGAAGGTGGATTCGAAACCGGTGGCCATCATTGATTTGGAACGTTCGCCGTTCCAGGTGGAACAGGAACAAGCCGATGTTATCGTACTTACCGACAGCGAAGAAAATCGCGAACGTGCACAAAACGACCAGCGACGTGATAGACGCCGCAGTGAATCGTCATGTCCCAGGGACAACGACCTCGACATGCATCGCAGCCAAAGGCAAGAGGCAGACAGTAGTCAACGCGATAAATCCGCCGAACGTTTGGATACAATTATGGAAGAGTCATATGACATCCCACAGACGGGTCCGAAAACACCTCCAGAACCCCCATCTGTTAAATTTAACTTGCAGTCCAAGAAGACTAACAAGGTGCGCAATCCATTGCACGAAGATGATGACTATGACATGCCGTCGACGTCTGAAAAGCAGCAAGTGCAAGAGCCTCACAGTGCTGATATGGACACAATGCATGTCCAAAGCAGCCAAAAGATTGGACCGAATACGCCACCAGAATCGGGACCATGCTCACCGGACGCATATGATCCATTCGAACCGACAAAGTCCCCCTCTATTTCGCCTCGTTCACCCACACCTCCTCCCTCGAAAATGGATGTTTCGCAGAACACGGACGTTAGCGGTGATATCGGTTCAACACAGAAACATCACGATGATCCACAGCGTAGAGAACAATTGTCCGGTATAGGAAATATGGCGCAGAGCGCCTCACTCAATCCCATTGACTTAGTCATGGCACTGATGGGCTCAAAAACTATGGTCGGCAATAGCCAAGACATGGCCAACAAGTCGAGTGATTCCAAACAGTATACAAATTCAGACGAACCATCATTCCGCAATAAATCCGACGACAAATCCATCACTGTGCTCTCCAATGTGCTGTTGAGTTCGGGCAATGGTATTTCTAGTCCAACACCGCCAAATGTGTCGAAGAAAATGTTACCGTTACCGAAAATTACCGGTAGTGTTGGCGGCAGTAGTAGCAGTGGTGTAAATATGCGGAATGGTGGCGCATCTAACAATAACGACGATGCGTACACACTGCGCGATGCCGACAGCCCCTACTCTCCGGGTTCGGGAGACTACGAAGATCTATTTGAACCACCTCCCGATACCAGTACTTCGAAGCGTTATTCAAAGCGTGGCAATACCGCCGCAGGGGGTTCTGGCAAATTAGATTCGTCGTTCGATAATCTCTTCGGCAGTACATCGCCGGTTTTACGATTGCCCTCATATACGCCCTCCAAAAAGCCAACAGCCGGTGGGGCATCGTCACGGCCATCTAAAACAAAAGGTGGGTCTAACAATATGAATACTTGTTATCTTCTAGTCTGTAAAAAAGCAAGCGTGATAATTGCAACGGTGAAATGGTTTATGTTTTAAGAAGAATATTCGTTATATCGTTTTGCGCCTTGATTCTGTAAATCGTGGGGAAGTGTTTTCAATAATTATTTTTACTGTTTTCTGTTGATACAATTCAATGCAATGCAGAAACAATTTCATTCTTATATTTTGGGTATTTTTGCCAAAGAAAAATTATGTGAACTTGTTTTTGTATTGAAGTTGTTGTGTTGTGTTTAACAGTGTAGAACTGATGATAATGATGATGTGTTGACCAAATTGTTGGTAAGTTCAAATGTGTACTAATTATTTTTTGTTATTATTTTTTTTTTTAGAAATATTCTTTAATTATTTTTACAAAAAAGATAATTTATATAAAATTTTAATTATTTTAATCATATACAAAGGATGTGATTTATATCACTACAGCAACGTAATTATTACAAGTTTATATACGTTCGAATATTATGAATCTGAAAACTAATTAGGTACAAATTAACGTATGAAATTCATATTTTGTGAAGAGTTACCTCTATAAAAACATGTTAGGTTAAATATCTTTAAATGTTTTGGATCTAAAATCATAAAAGTATAATTGTAAATTCAGCTATTCTATTGAATATTAATAGTAGGTGTCCGCAAAATATTAACGTACACTTAAAGACAATTTAACATTTTCGAAGAGTATAAACACCAAAAATTATGTTAATAATAATGAAGGTCCAGTAGTGTAGGCTTATCTATCCTTAATAAACCGCCAACGCAAGTTGGGGATGATTGCTACAACTGTAATAACAATTGTAGCAGTCATATTGCTTTTAAACAATGGGCTGAGGTGACACACGTTGTCAAATTTGTATTAATTATCCCATTAAAATTAAATTTAATTTTGCATCAATGAATCAATTTGAAAAAAATACTATACCCCCTATTTAAAAGATATTTTTGAAAATATTTCTAATTTCATACTACACCTTTTTCAAGTGTTATTCAAAACATTTCAATTGCGATTCGAACATTTCATTTGTAATTCGAAAACTCAATTTGCAACTCATAACATTTCACTTGTATTTCGAGAATGTAATTCGTAATTCACAAATTTTCGTTTGTAATTTTAAGCTTTACATTGAGTGGAATTTTATCTTTTATTATATAATCATGTCAAAGCATAGCTATATTTAATTGTTGTATGGAGAATTTATTTAAACTCTTAGCCTTCGATATTATTCCTTGTGATTCATTTCGTTCATTACTCTTTGTTAGATTAGGGGACAAATCTAGCAAAGAGTAATGCGATTTTATTTTATTTATTTTTATTAATTCATTCTGTAATAATGAAGCCTTAACGGCCAATAATATATTACAAGTTCAATATACGCCTTAGAATAATTCAATATTAATATTAATTACAAAAGATGAATAATGAACCGAAATACTTGTTTGATCCCCACCATAAAAAAGAAAAATAAAGTAATATGCAAACTAAAATCAATAAGCAATAGGTCAAGGCTGTAGTATATTCGCTAAAATTCAAACCAACTATCTAATAAAAGACATACATTTCAGGCGAAAAACGTTGTTAGAAAATTCTAAAGTCATGATGTAAGCTGTTCCAAATCCGAGCTATTCTAACAATAAACGATCTAGCATACACACAGAGCGGACAACGCGTGTTATAAACATTTTAGGATTTCTACTGGATCTAGAGAAAATAAAAAAACACTACTTTATGGCACAATATTATGTTGCGACATTTGACAAAGTTTCTGAACGAGCAGCCAAGGAAATATTCTACATGATTTGATATATGATTCCTAATGGGGATACTGTAAACAAATCGTACAATCGTATTTAAAAGAAGCCTTAGCTTAATAATGCAATTGCCAACAGTACCCGAAACAACCTCTAAACCATATACAACTTGCGACAATAGAAGAGAGCGAGCTAAGATAGCTTTGACACGCAGGGGCAAGAGCATATTAGTCGAACGTATACTGCTCAGAATACCCCAAACATTACCAGCAACGACATCAATATGAGATTCAAATGTTAACCTAGTGTCTAATAAAGCACCTACGCACTTGTGTTTATCTACAAATTCATGAAGCATAGACATTTAAAGAATTTAATGTGGTCCAATTCCGAAAACGTTATAAGCAGGAGTTATTAGAACTATCAAAAATATCTATACTAAAAATATTTCCTGAAAACAACAAGAATACATCATCCGCAAAGAGAAATTTAGAACATGTACAAGGGTTAAAGATTTTAGGAAGATCATTAATATATAGGACAAACAAAAGGGGCCCCAAAACCGATCCTTGTGATGGGACTCCAGAAAGCAAATCTAGAAATTCGATTTTTCACCATTCAAAACAACAAATTGCGATCTTCCAATTTAATATGAATAAACAAGCCTGCAAGCTGACCTGTAAATACCATATCCTCTATTCAGTTTACAAACCATAGTCTTAAAGAGAAACCATGGCACTAATCTTATTAGAGTTAATATTCATACGTATAGAATCAGTAAGATGCAGAAGCAAGGAGGAGGTGTTATATCCCTGGCGGAAAGCATATTGTGAATGAATTATCTTAGATGTAGTAAAATGGAGCAGCTGATTCCTGATTACATGTTCAACTACCTTCGATAATGATGGGAGGATAGTAATTGGATCCAATGAATGATGTTTGACTCAGGTATAGGCACGACACGTGCTGTTTTCCAAATTTTAGGGAAGGTAGATGACATTAACATTTGACATTTGACTTTAAAAAGAGCATCTAACAATTCTGCTTCATCAATGCGACAAAAAGAATGACAGCTAGCAGTATCAACAAGTTCATCTACATCAAAAGGTTCATAACTTTCGATAGGATAGACAAAGATTTATTAATCACATTAATATCATTGCAGATTGAAATATCCGTGCTTTAGTACAACTCGGTGCCTTAAGAACTCTCCATAAGTTAGTCGAATCTAACCCATAAAATAGTTTTATGTAATGTATTCTTCTCTGTTTTTGCGTATTACACTTTTCGCCTTGTTACGCAGTCTGCAATAAGAATTCCAATTATTAGAAGTTTGATCAGCAGCATATGCCTTGTCCCTAAGTGATCTATAAAAAACAACTCTCCTAGATTCAAGGATCATTAACATAAGATGTTTTCCTTATAACAAGAGGAACAAAATTTAAAAGATTCTTAAAAAAGGCAATCAGTAATAGATCACTTAGTAGCTGCATCACTAGCTTCGGCGGTTAACCGATCATTACGTATAAGTTTATATCCTGGAATATTTAAGGTACGATCAGAAATATCAAGCGAGAGTCATGTCTCAGAAATAGCAAATAAGCCGAAATCCCTGTCAACCAGTATACACCTCAGTTCATCCAACTTCCCAGGTGGTTGAATGCTTCTACAATTAGGATGTGCAACTTTATGTTGAGATTGGTGATGGTTCAATATGGATTTAAGAAGCACTACCCTGACAACATGACCTAGATTCTAGTTAAAAATTATCTAATATAATGAAAGTAATGTACATGGCGGGGACCAAAGAGTACGTGGTTATACGCAAACTTAATCTAAAACCAGTGAGCGGAGCAGTATAGTCGGACGGGGCCGACCATATGATACCCTACACAACTTCCACGAAAATCTAACTTTCTGTGGTTCTATATTTTGATCATGGAAATATTTAGCTATTTTTGCACCCTCTTGACCGACTAGAGGTCAAAAAATATTAACACAAAAAATACGTTTTCAGTCCACTTCATCATAAAATTATTATCTGATCATCACCGAAAATTATAAGCGTTGTCCTTGACCATAACTGGAACCTCATGAAACATTTAAAAGCGACCAGCGTTACATTTCCGCCCTCTTGTCTGGTAATGGTTTATATTACAATATGTGAATACGTAAGCACCTGTAAATATTTACGTGTAACTCCTACATCCGTGTACATACGACAATGTAATTGGTATCAATTTAAAGGCCAACCACTCCTCTTGGATATACTGTCAACTTCTTGGGTCTATGTCTTTCAGGATTACATATATACGCTATAGAATACAAAATTTGTAATTTTTCACACAAAGTCAGGGTCCATTTGACCGATGTTTATCAAAACAGGCATGCTTATTCTTTGGCCCGATCCTGTTCTCCATTCGTGATGGTTGGACCATAATTGCGGACTCTGGAGCCACCAGAAAATCAGACAAAAATTTAGTATTTGGTCCTTTTCATCCCCTAAATATTAACCGATCTTTACCAAAAACAATAGGGGTCTTGATTGGCCAGAACCCATCCTACATGCAAAATTTCCTGAAGATTGGTCCATAACTGTGGCCTGTATCGTGTTTACAAATTATAATGGACGGACACACATGTCAAGATCTACTCAGCAAGTCGAGATATGACGTTCAATTAAAAGTCCATATTTTCAGATACATTAGCGTATTGTTTAATTATTCCCTTGGCCTCTCATATAGTTCCATTACCTAATGTCTCGAATTATAGAGGAATTGCTAAATTAAGTGCAATTCCCTCAACCTATCATAAATATCAACATGGTTTTCGTAGTGGCCTCTCAACCATTACCAATCTTATTCAATTTTCCTCAACCGTCATAAAAGGTTTTATTCAGCGTAATCAAACCGACACGATTTACGTTCAATATATAAAGGTGCGCTACACAAAGCTATAATACCATGACAACATAGTTGTGTAGGGTATATAATAATATTATTGGGAGCCAGTATAGCTTTTTTTTGAGAACAAACTATAGAGCATGTTTCAGTTATACATATACACATTATCTGCCTTGACCACATTTGCATCACTTACTTTATTAACATTAACATTTGAAAGCGATTGGATTCATAGATTTCGAATAACCTCATTTTCATCGACTTTATCTTCAAAAGCTTTGCAAATTATCAGTTGAAGATGTAAAATAAAAATCGATTTAAAAAGCAGAGATACCCCTGATTTTGGGAACTCTATTTAATAATGATTTTTTTTGTTTATCGTCGTTGTACAAATGCATATATTGCATACTTTATATCTAAATCAGAACCGATTTCCATTAAACTGAAAGACTTACGCTGAAACTAAATATTGGAGCTAAATCTAAATTTGAACTGATTTCAATAAAACTACAAACAAACTGTACTTAATTTGGTACAATGTCTCAATCGGACATACATTGTGACATGGGTCTACTATTGAGGAATTCGACAAACCTATATATGGGAACTCGTTTCCTTATTTAACTTCTTCAGAAAAATGAAAATTTTGTTCGCTTTAATGTAAAGAAAATTATGTTTTTATTTATAAATTCACATTTAAATTAATATTGTTGCTCGTTTTCTTTCAAAATGTTGAATTGTTAGATATTCAATGAACACAATTTTTGCGTCAAAACCCACACTTCAGAAAAAAAAAATAATAATAAAAATTTTAGAGAATTTTACAATCTAGCATTACAAAAGATATTCTAAGCAAAAATATAAAAGTGAAACGAAATTAAAATCTTTAAAATCAGTTTAAAAAAAATGTGTTTAATTTTTTTTTAATACAATTTTTTCCGATTCTGTTTTCATTGTTTTCAATTATATTCAATTCAATATATAAAAGTGGGTAATTTTTTGTGGTTTTTGTTTTTACTGGAGAAATGTTTCAGTTTTCGGAATTTTTCAAATTGATCGGAATCTCGAGAAGGTAAATCAAAATCGATCGGAATGGAAACTTGAATTTTCTTAAAAGTTACCTTCGGTTCACCGTTGCCTTTTACATTTTACAAACATATGCATAAATACTTACTTAAGGAAAGTATTAAAGTCGGGCGGGCCGACTATTATAACAGACGCCGCATTTGGAAGGACCATTGACATGAAATTGGACTAAATCAAATATGTGATCTGTATCTATATGTGAACCGACTTAAATCAATCCGTACATGTCCGGTAACCTATGCCACATTTTTGTGCAAATCGGCCTAAATTTGACCCTTTGGTGCACCATATGCTACAAATTTGATCTTAAAACAAAATTTGTCGATCGAATTTGGGACTACACATTGCTGAAGAGAGACCAACAATATATCACAAGATCAAAATAAAAAAGCAAGAGATGTGTAAAAGTCATTATTGAATCGATGTGTGTCCTACCGCCTGTTTTTTCGCTCTAGAGACTACAAATATGACCGGAATACACGAAATTTTAGTGGGTGAGCATAGAATAATCACGACTGATTTGATGAATATCGGTCAATATTTAGCGGGTCTAATGAACCAACACATTTTTGTGTTAAATAACAAAATTTGAATTTTGTGAAGTAATGCCTCTTAACATCGCGAAATATTAGATTGGGAAAAATAAATCCATTAATTTTTCGGCAGATGCCTGTACCTGTACTGATACATATCTCGTAAAGTATCGATCAAACAATTTCGGATTTATGCTCGTTGGAAGGGCGACATTTCGCAATAAAAAATGTATTTTGCCGTTTTTTGTTTGGTGCATTCAGTTGTGAGTTACAGGGTGTTAAAAATGGAAGTGAACAAAGAGCAAATTCAATACATTTTACAGTTTTTCTTTGACAAGGGCGAAAATGCAAGCCAAGCGGCTAAAATCGTGAATGGTGATTATGGTTCCCATACTGTAACAACCAATTATGTGCAATTTTGGTTTGGAAGATTCCGTTCAGGAATTTTTGATGTTAAAGATGAACCTCGCACAGGTAGGCCGGTCGTCGAAAATGTTGATAAAATCGTAGAAATGGTCGTAACAGTCGTAACACCCCAGGACCTAAAAAGCGACCCTAAAACTGTTTTAAACCATTTACACAGAGCTGGATTGAAAAAGAAGCTCGATGTTTGGGTGCCACACGAATTAACAGAAAAAATAGGATGGATCGAATTTCCATGTGCAAAGCCTTGGCCAAACGGAATGAGATATACCCATTTCTTAAGCGGATGGTGCCTGGAGATGAGAAATGGATCACACATATGGTGGTATCTAGGGAGAATAGTGAAAATCGACTACTAGATTTTTTTGCAAATTGAGAGCAGGACTTCTATGAGAGAGGCATTATGAAGTTAAAATAGCAACATTTAACATTTAAAAACATTTAACATTAAATAGCAACAAATCGGACATTCCGATGCATGTTAAATCATATAAAAATAATGGATTTCTTTTTCCCCAACCTATATTTCCCAAATCCGTAGAAACTTAGAGCTCAAAATATGAATGAAAAGTATGCATTTTTTGTTCCTAAGACTGACCCTTTAGAACATGGCGAACTTAATTCAGATTTGAGAACAGCTTCCGCATATATTATCATCCCATATCAAATAACTAATGTCTAAAAAAATATCTAAAGCTATCCTAGAACATTCATATTAGCGCAAATTTATACAAATTTTATGAAATTTCAGTTCGATTCCCAATTCAAGTGGTCTCTTGAAGACACGGCGGGACTTCCTGTCGCATTTTCTTTTTCTGTCCCGTTGCAATAAAGTCGAGCTATACTGATTTAGCACTTAGAGGCCTATCTACAATTTCAAATTGAAATCCTTCCTATGTAATCAATGCCACCTGCCGAGAATAAGTTGTTTAGTAATTTCAGCACCTTAAATATTTACACTGAAACGAAGTACAGTCGAAATCTTTTATAACGATATATTGGTTATAACGATCTATACAAAAGTCCCGAGGAAAGTTCTACCGCTTATTTGATATCGTTCATAAGGACATGCTAATAGCGCTCAATTTTGTCGGTCCCTTGACCGTCGTTATAAGCGATTGCGACAGTACCAGTCGATCTTGGATTTCATCGTGTGAGTCCAGCCGACGACTACCGAATGCATTTCGGAATATGACTACCATTGATACACATTGAGTGAGCTTGTAGGGCTTTTCTGGGGTAAACCTTCCATTTTCATAGCTGGACCCAATTGGTAATTTATTGCCAGTTTACGATTGTCTTCTTTTATGTGATGGAACCGATGAACTTGCTTCAATTTTAGGAGTTACATAACTGTTTTTACGTCTTTCCACACCGTTTACGTTTCGGATTATATTTTTCACTAAGTTCCGAAGAAATATCCCTTTAACCGCGGTTATAACGATCTCTATGGGACCGGACAACTTCGGTCGTTATGGATGTAGTAGAAGCACCAGTCTGTTGAGAGATTTTTAGTTCATCATAAACGTATGTTAAAATTCTCTGTATGGGTCACCAAAACTAGTTTTTTGTTGTATGAAAAATAGGTATAAAGTTATTGGGACCGAAGAAAGCACTTCGCTCGCTATAACTGGTGTTGGTTAATAATAGTAATAATTTTCGAATTGAAGTTTGTGTTTTAGTCGCTAACAATTTATTTTTAATGCAAACTATACAAATCGCTGTCATTGATCATATAAATTCGAAATCATTTTTACCCTTTAATTGGCCATCAGCATTTCGCTCGATCAGAACCTCCGTATGCCATTAATCTAAGGTTATGACAAAATACATAAATGAAATATATTTCATCAATAAATTATATTATTAAATTGCGTTACATATATCGATACTTTTTTACAGGAATAAAATTTACTCCAATTGAAAAACAATCGCTTTTCTTTTCCTCGTCTTTTCTATTTAATATTGATAATGATAATAATCGTCAAACTTACTTTTTTCAATTTACAGGAAGTCTTAATGAGGTATCAAATATGCCAGGGGACGTGAAGGAAAAGGTAAGTGCTACTGACATTCTCACGCTACGAATCCTATTCTTAAATTCAATATTCATTTTATTATTTAGTTCTTACGTAAATTGAATCGACAAGAACGCGTAGTCGAGGAAGTGAAATTGGTATTGAAACCAAGATATAACAAGAAGCACATCACAAAGGAGGACTACAAGGAAATTATGCGACGAGCTGTGCCAAAGGTAGGATAATTCTACACAACGCTTATCTTCCCACCACAAACTCTTTATACTAATACGACACATATTTTCACATATATAGATTTGCCACAGTCGTTCGGGTGAGATAGATCCCAATAAGATAAAGAATTTAATTGATGCCTATGTCAAGAAATTCCGGGCAAAACACAAGAAATTAAATCTTATTAGCACGGGTCAAGTTAGCAGCGCTGTAAAATGTGCCGCCTACTTGAAGAAGCTCTAGAAAGTGGGACGCTGATGCCACAGCAACCATAAATCATAGCAAAAAATAATTGATCAAGCAAAAACCTTACTGTATAGAAAGTGAGTATAAATTATCTTTGTAGACATCCTCCTGTGAATACCCAAGTAATAATCCAAACATTTTATTTTGCAGTTCAATATGGATTCTATTACAACCAAAACCCCAATTTAAACAATTTCTTAATGACACCTTGTGTCTAGTTTCGCATTGTTGTAATGGCATGATAATTCCATCGGAACAAAGGCATAATCCTTTAAGGTTAAAAATGATGATCGATCATCTGAAGAAATCTACAACTTTTATTTATAGTCCTAATTGTAGTTGATAAGATTCATCCATTCTTTATTTGAATTAATAACACAATGAAGAAAACTAAGGAAAACAATAAAACAACAGCAACAACAATTTATTAAAAAAAAATAATAATATACAAGAAAGTTTGATAATTATTTTCTTTATATTATTCTCGTAATTCTCCTATTTATATTTATGTTTGATATTTATTTGAAATCTTTTATATACCACAGTGTAAGGTAAGAATGTTTTAAATTTGCAACACACACATAGATACATAGTAAAGAAATTTGTCCGATACAGAATATTATTTGTACCATACAAAAGAAACGAAAAAAACAAACACATTATCGATTTTGCATTGGATTGTCATTTTGATTTTTTTGGAACAAGATTATATCATTATTACTATTAATATAATATAAATAATTAAGTATAATTGCAGCAATAAATAATAAAATTATCGTTTCTCTTATCAATCGTATTTACAGTATAAAAAAAAAAAACAAACAAAAAAACAACTACAGACAATTTTAGCTTCATAATAGTATAAATAGTACACCTTAATTTGTGTAACAGAAATTATTAATCAATAAAATGTACTAATTAAAAAAAATAAAAAAAATGTTTACTTTTATAAGGCTCGTATCTAAATTCATGTATTTCAATAGACGTTACCCAGAAATGATTTCATCCATTTTCGCCGTTTCGTATTGACACACATGTTCTCGAGTATTAGGGTAAATAGATCAAATATACTATAAAGTTTTGCCAAAAAATGAAATTAAATTAAATGCGTAAGGATATATGAAATGTTTTTAAAGAAGACCGAGAATATGACCATCAACTTCGTTCAAATGTGAAGGTCAAAAACGTACAGAATTGTGGATCAACCATTCATGGATTTTGCGCCATACAACGCAAAAGATGACATGTACATCGTTGCTTGTGCATACATTTTTAACAAAAACCCAAAACTGAAGATATCGAGCAAAGAAAGCGATTTGCTATGATAGAAGATATAAAAGAAAAATCGAAAAAGAACTGCTGACTATTTCAAAAAGCGCGTTTCAAAAGTGTTTCGAGGTTTTTCCAATCCATTTTGACATAAGTGTAGTATATCTGAGGGGGATTACTTTAAAGGGACTAGAGCGTTATTAATTCAATAAATATTTAAAAAAATAACCGTTATTTTAAAATATTTAAAATGAGGACATAAAAATAATAAGTCCATTAAAAGAAGAAGTCACCCATGTATTATTTAACATTAAATTCGGAAATGGTTTAGAATAATAAGAACGCATACATTTATTTTATAACGAGATAATTTGTTCTCCTGCTGATCCCTCCTGTTTACTGCTATTTTAGCCTTACTGCCATTTTAGCTGAAGAAATAATATTCGGTCAAATCGAATGACTTTTTTAACATTTGACCCACGAAAGTTTAGTATATACATACTTTTATTAAAGTGAGCCAGAAAATGAAAGTTTTTTATTTTTTGAAAATCCGAAAATAAAGGAGGTTGGGGAAAGAGCAACCACCAAGTACCAAAATTACTTCTCACGCACCCTCTTAAAAATTCGCAAGATGCTATTAAACGCTTTACCTCCCAAGAAAACAAGGAATACCACAAAGATGCGATGATGAGGACTCAGGACTTTATATCAAGAAAAATGTTTCATGCTTCAGATATATTTATATCTTAAGGTGGCCATTGAGCCAATTTAATTGTGTGAAAGGGAAGACATCGCCTTGAGGGGAATAAAGCCTCCCGAATATTGTCGTTAGACGTAAACTTAGAAAAAAGTTTAAAGAGTACACCCAAAAATACAACATACCTGAGTCCCAGAATACAGAACGAGTTAATAGAAATAATTGGATAATACATCCAGAAGTCTATTGTTGAAGAAGTGACAAAGTGTTTTATTCATATCGGGTTTAGCGTATGAAATGATATATGTATAAGATTTTTGATAAGGTATCTAAAAAAGTCAATGATGTTTTCTTTGCTACGTAGAATTAGAAGAACTAACAGGAAAAGTATTTTCGACCGTCATAATAAACACAATAACCAATTTGGGTTTGGATCTAACATGTTTGAGAGGTCAAGGATATGACGGCGCGTCTAACATGTTAGGTAATTTAGTGGATTGCATACCATCGTTAAATCCAAATTAATTTCTGCGGTATACATTCATTGTTTCTTTCATATTTTAAAATTAATTTTATATGCAGCTTCAAAGATTCGAGAAATTTGAAGCATATTTTCTACAATTTTTGAAATTTGCTCATTCTTTAGAAAATCCAAAAAGGTCTGCTACTACTTTCAAACGACTGTATTCATATTGTGAAATACGATAGTTTGATTGCGTACAAATATTTAACTAATCCATAGAAAAGATAATAGAATCGTTGGAAGAAATGGGGAGGTTGTGGTGAAATGGTAAGATTTAATTTGGATTTATTTCTAAGAATTATAAGTTTCAGTGCCAAAAAGGGTTGGTACGCAGAAATATAAGAGTGCCGCCTTGATATGTTGTCCTAATTAGTAAAAATAAATTTAGTTAAGCTCTTATAAAAATCTGTGATTTGAAAAGTTTTTTTTTATCACAAGAGTCAAACAATTTGCTTTTCTTAAATATAAAGAAGTAATATAGAACTTTATTTTCCACAAAATCGGTGAGGTTTAATTATACCCTACACAACTATGTTGTCAGGGTATTATACCTTTGTGCAGCCCCAAAAGTTTGTAACGCCGCGAAATATTGGTCCTAGACCCACCTTTAAGTATACCGATCGTCATATCTCGACTAGCTGAGTCGATCTAGACATGTGTGTCCGTCTGTCCATTATAATTTGTAAACACGATACTGGCCACAGTTATGGACCAATCTTCACGAAATTTTGCATGTATGATGGGTTCTGGCCAATGAAGACCCCTATTGTTTTTGGGAAAGATCGGTTAATATTTAGGGGATGAAATGGACCAAATACCAAATTTTTTTCGGTTTTTCTGGTCGCTTCAGAGGCCGCAATAATGGCCCGAACTTCGTGAAATTTTGCATGGAGAAGGGGATCGGGCCAAAGAATAAGCATGCCTGTTTTGAAAAAGATCGGTCAATATTTAGAGGGTCAAATGGACCCTGACTTTTGTGTGAAAAATTACAAAATTTGTATTTTATTGCCTATATATTTGCCCCTGAAGGACATAGACCCGAGAAGTTGATTACATATCCAAGAGGAGTGGTTGACCTTTAAATTAAGACCAATTATATTGTTGTATGTACTCGGATGTGGGAGTTACAACTAAATATTTACAGGTATCTCCGTATTCGTTTATTATTTAGTAACCCATTATCACTCTAGAGGGCGGAACTATAGCGCTGATCGCTTTGAAATGTTCCATTAGGTCCCGGGTATGGTCAAGAACAACGCCTATAATTTTCGGTGATGATTAGATAATAATTTTGGAATGAAGTGGACCGAAAACTTAATTTTTTGTGTTATTTTCGAGTCGATCTATGGACCACAAATGAAAGCCGAACATCACAACACAACCCACGGTGAAGGGAATCTGGACAATAGCTGTACTGAATACTCGTAATATTCGGAAAATATGTCAGTGTGAGGAAGAGGAGCTGTTTACCACTAATCGGGCAAGAGGGTGCAAATATCACGAAATATTGCCCAGGCTCGGAATAAACATCCGCACAAAATTTGAGTTCCGTGGTAGTTGTGTAGGGTATCGTATGGTCGGCCCCGTCCGACTATACTGCTCCGCTCACTGGTTTTTTATTATTTTTTTAACCCGAAAAATGTTTTTAAATAAATGAATCAAAGTCGAGTAATGTGGACCACTAAAAAAACGGGACAATTTCATGGGGCCTAGTATGAAAAACATTTCCATGAGGTGGTATTCTATCCTATGAGAAATTTCAGCTGCTTCTGTTGGATAATGAAGATAGGACCTTCAAAATATCGTCCTTACCATTAAATGTGGGCAATTCCAAAACATTAACCCATATATTTTTGCATTTATTGTCACCCAAAATAAATTGAAATTTGTCACAAAAAATACACAAACTGTCTTTAAAGTTACTGGTCCACATTACCCGCGCATACTGGTCCACATTGCCCGCCAAGTTATTTTTATATGAATTGATAATAATTTCAACTGCTGAATATTCATTCAGCACTGGAGTTTTTTCAAATGACACTTCATTTCTTGCACAGTCTATTATTCTTCCAAATATGTAAAATTTCCTCTAGTTTGGCTTGTGCTTCTTGTTTTCTTAAATATTAATGTTTGTGTTGAATGTGAACGTTTTGTTTACATTGGAATAGTAAGAGTCTGCGCGAAAACACAAACTAAAAAATAACCTCTGTAAACTAGGAATTATCAAATCATACTACAGCTATTTAAATATATAACACTACTTTCGATAGCTATTTTAGCATTTTTCAATTTCGTATATTCTTTAGGTATGTTGATTTTTGCCAATACTTCTCTCCACGACGATTGTGAGCTTTAAGTTGGCAAATTTATAATCCATTTCTATGCAACGTTAAATGAGGTCAGTAGACACAGACAACCAACAAAAAACACAATGAAATGAAAAAGAAACCCTCAACAAAAAATGGTTAACTTTTCAACGACTGAAAATATCACTACAAAAGCTATTGCAGTCATTTTGGATAAATTAATTTTCAAAGCTTCTGATGAAATCCGATTATGGTATCACCACAACCTATTATATAGACAATTGATTTTGAATTATGAAATTCGGAAATGGGAATAATCCTTCCATGCAGTACACACCGGGACACCATCCTTTTAATAATTAATTCCACTGCTAGAGAAAGTAACCGTTATGTCAATAAAGTTGTATAATTTTTACAACATTTACGTTTAAAAATACGTTATCTGGTTAAGAGCACGAAATATTAACAGTTTTCGAGATTAAATTAAATTACAAACTTTTCCATCCGACGTCATTCAATTTCGAAACGATTTTCCTCAAAACGACGTTAAATTCATTTTGAAGGTCAATGAAGGTCAATGTTCATTTTGAAGGTCAATGAAATTATCGACTCAGAAGTTCTCCTTGTAACGAACTTTCCGAAAAATGAATTATATTATTCCGTCAAATGTATACACCAGACTGTTCGATAGTCCCGCGCGAAAAATAGACAGAAGCAACAAGTGAACTGTTTTTTCCTAAACAAAACATAGCACATGGTCACATTCCAAAAGACAGAGGAAAATCATGTTAATTAGATTTGGAAAACAGAACAAACATGTCCAATGTGAAACGATGAAGCCAAACAAAACACTTCATTGACTAGTAAACAATTGGCCATTGAACGAAGAAAAACGATTGGAAAATACTACTACGAAGAACAAAATAATTGTAATATTTATAGTTTTTTATTATTATATGGAAATATTAATACCTAAATATGGATGATTACGATGAAGGTCAACAGGGTAAGAAAAGCAGTGAAATGAAACGAATTTATTTATTGGAGATCCAAATTTTAATATCATGGATTTTGTGCTACAGGCAGAGGTTCGAGCATGGGCATGGAGTCTTCAGCCCCACAAGGTGCGGTGAAAGTAGGCGGCTGGCGTTATGAAGATTCAACACGTTACATCGGTGAATGGAATCAACGTGGAATGAAACATGGAGTTGGTCATCTGCAATTTGCCGATGGCACCCGCTACGATGGCCAATTTTTTGAAGGCATGAGTCATGGATTGGGCTGTATGTGGTTTGCAGATGGAGCCAAGTAATGTTCTCCTCATTACGCTGTGCTTATTTGTGTTATGAAACCATGCTTCTATGTACATTTACAGATACGAAGGTGAGTTCATGAATGGCTGGTTTCATGGATATGGCATCTTTTGGCGTGCCGATGGCATGAAATTTGAGGGTGAATTTCGTGGTGGAAAGGTGTGGGGCCATGGCTTGGTTACGTATAAGGACTTCACACACGGCTTCCCCAGAAATGAAGGATATTTTCAAGACTGCCGTTTGGTGCGTAAACGTCGCTGCCCCGAAGTTGTACAAAAGGCCCAAAAATGTGCTCTAATGGCCAGATCGCAATGTGACCACCCCTACTGATGTTGACGAAATCCAATAAACGAAGCAAACAAAAAACAACAAATATTGCGTTGGAGTTTTATTTATACCCCAGTGTAGTTTGTTCTTTCTTAAAACAAAACTAAACAATAATAATTTCTATTTACGAAAATAGTCTTCTTTCTATACATACACATACTACATAGTACATATAAAATTGTATCTTAAGTAACTATCAAAGGTTCGCATACAAAAAGCCTTAGGTATGTATATGGTTATTGTTGTTCTCATGGAAGTTATTCTGTCTTTGGAGCTCCTATCATATACCAGGCATTACGAGCCTGTACCGCAGCAGTGCGTACCAAACGTTTAGGATCATCGAGAGCTGTTGCCAGTTCCAGGACCACATCAACTTTGTAGGGAAGCAAAACAAATGTTGGATATTTGGTAATGTCATACAGTAGCTTCAATGCCGATATTCTTATTTTCTGTAATTGAAATGAAAAATAATATGAAATTATTTTATTTTTCTTGTTTTGTGCGGAGTTTAGAAACTCTTTACCATTGAGTGATCGCATGTTGTTAACTTTAGACAGGCTGGTATTAAATGATTCAAATGACTGCGGAAATACTCATCTTGATGTTTGACAAAATTTTCACAAATTTGTAAAGATATTCCTTGAGTGTGAACGTTTCCCGATTCCAGGCATTTAAATAGTATTGGTCCGATCTGTAATCAAATGAAAATAATTAATAAATTAGAGACTAGAATTATTAATATTTTAAAGGATTACAAATATATAAAAGTAAAAAATGCGTCGTCCATGACTATCAAAATACCTAAAATGGGACATGTAAAAACACTAACCTTTATTATAACATTTCCCCCACACGGGATTTTACAATTATTGATCTTTCGAATGAATGTTCGAATCAGTCCCTCTACTTACCTTTTCAATGTTCATTTTCAAAACAGCATGAGGTGTTGCCTTCAACACATACACAAATGCCATCAAATGATGTTCACAATACTGTTCCAATTTATGGCCCAATTTCGCCAAAATCATATGGAAGAACTTTTGTTGGAATAAAAATTTCACCTGTGGCAGATGTAATTGTGGATACTCTGCAGATATAATTTCAAATGCCAACGAGGCCGCTGTTGATAACGAAGGATGATCCAACAATTCAGATAACTATAATTGTAATTAGAATAAAATAAAGTAATTACAACGAATCGCAAGACAATAATCAAAGACTTACGGTTTCAACAATTTCACCAGCTTCAGTACTTCCCCGCATAACAAGGCCCTTGCCCAACCACGACAGTGCTTCAACAGCTTTCTTGTTTTCCTTTTTAATGGCGTCCTTGAGTTTGTTAATTATGCGTTTGATTGTGCCGCGATTATTCTCGCTGTACTCAATCTTATTCACCAAGCTACATAACAAATGATGGGCCACCTCTCGCATGCCTTCATTTTCCGATTGCAGCGACAACTCGGTCAGATCATCCAATAAACGCTCAAAATGATCATCAAGACTGATGTCTTTGTGTAAATAGCCCAAAAGACCTTCGGCTATGTAAAGATCTGCCTCAAGTTGCAAATTCAAATTATATAAATAATTTGTGGCCACCATATACTGTTCGGCAATGGCAAGTGTTTGAACGATGGAACTTAAAGCGTGGGCAATTTGTGCCAGGACAGCCGAATTTAATTGGTTATTATTTTGTGCCAATTGTACAAGTTTGTCTATAAGTTCGCTATTATTTTGAAGATCTTGGATGAAGCGTTGATCTTCTGTTTTCAGCAGGCGATTTAAAGCTTCCAAAGATAAAAGTCTAACGTCATTGGTCACATCATTGCCAAATATTTGCTGGTACAATAAATCCAAAATTCGTTGTGTAAAAGCTATTTGTCGAACAAGTGGCATGAGGTTTGTTAAGATTTTCTGTTTAACAAAGTTTGAAAATAGACTGAAATTTCTTATACAGCCATCAATACAATTCGATTGTAATTCAATGGGATACAATGCTCCCAAACGTTCCATTAATGGTTGTGTTTGTTCCACATCGATCGATTCATTTGTCAACAAGCTCATTAGAATTCTATACACCAGCACTCGGTTAGCTTCACTGATTATTGGTGCACATTCGATTAGCACGGTCAGAGAAACTTTTAATAGATCCTGATTTAAATCACTTATTTCCGCATCTGTTTTCTTCAAACTGGCAATAATATGGGAATGCAATTTCGAACACAACTCCGCATTGAGAGCCTTAAAGACATCCTCTCGTTTTAGCGAAATGATATTAAACATTTGTGCAATAATATTATAAATGCGTATCGACTGATCGTCATTTAAAGTGTTAGGATCTTCACTAAGCTTGATTAAGAATGTATTGAGAATTTTCTCGCTTGCAAATACCGGATCTCCAGCTACACAAACCAATGCAATGGTAGAGGCAGAATTAAAAAGACGATGATTGACATCACTAAGATGTGTCAAAATTGTTCCCAAAATAATCGTTTGGTAATTATGACTGATGTTGGTGTTAGAGGTCGCTTGTTCCAGTACACAACGTAATGTACGCAGAGCATGTGAGATGACATCATTGTTTTCTGAGCCGGGAAACAATTCATTTTTAAGTGCAATCCATATTTGTTCAAAATGAGATTCCAAAAGATCGCAGGGGAACTTTAATGCAGCTTGGTACTAAACATACAAAGTAAAAAAGAAAGTATTACGAAAATACTCAGACTACAGAACAAAAAATTGCAATCTTCAGAAAAATATATCCAGTAATTTTTATGCAAATTTTGTTAACCCCTTTGAATGTTAAACACATTGAGAAGAAATATTTTTCAGTTTAGCTGATGTTCCCAACAACCTACCAGCAATTCCAAAGAATCACATTTGGCCACAACCAAATCACTTTCCAATTTTTCCAATGCCAATGCTACCGTCCATTCGACCAACTCTGGCGAGGCTACGAGACATTGCGTCAATTTCGAAGCCAAATTTTCTCTTGTTATTGTATCCGGATCGTTTTTGGTTGGATTGAAATCGATAGGAAAATAACAGGCAAACACTTCGAACATCTCCTCACTTAAATGCAACAATGGATATGTTTGGATGAAATTCGGCATAAATGTGAATATAAAGTCCAGATTCCTTGGATCGCGTTCGCCATCCAGCGAATTGATTATGCCATAAATAAAATCACCAGACATTGCCTTTAAATCTGTGGAAGAAAATTGCATGTTAATAATAACCAAAAACGATATTCGATTAAACACCTCACTTACCCTCCACATATCTTTCCGAAATATATTTAAATATTTGGAATAAACGAAAACGATCACTGCGTAACTGTGATTGACATGTTGTATTCAAAAAGAAATTCTGCAAAAGCATAACAACGCACTTTCCAGGACAGTGTTTCATATGGACCAGGGCATCAACGCCTTCTATTATGGCGGGTACAACATTATGATGATCCTTAAGACGGGCGGCATAAAAATTTGACAGCACCTCGACTTGTTCAGCATTGAGGTGATCATTGGGCAACAGAGCCAAGACTCGTGAATACAGCAGCGTACCCTGTACACGTTTCTCCACATTGCTAGAGGTCAAACAGAACTGTAAGCTTTCGCATAGTTTAACCACATCGTATGTTTTGTTTTCAATATCTAAAATAGAATTGTTTATCAATATGACTTTCAGCCAGCCCAACGTCGCCACCCACTCATTCACCTGTCCGTCCATGCAATATTTAACCCACCTTTAGCTATTTGTTCGGCACTTTGTTTCAAAGTTATTTCACTTTGTATTGCCTCCTCAAGGGAAGCTTCACTCAGAGGAACCATTGTATCTGTACACAGTAAATTGTATATTTAACTAATAAAAAATTCTATAATAACTTGTTATTTTATATAAAAATCGAACAAAAGAATGGATTTATTTTTATTTGCTAATGTCAATGCACGCGAAGAAAGGACATTGCTGACAACCAAGGTAGATTTAATAAGGTACCCGCATCAGCAATTGAATACAAAAAAACAACAACTGTTGTAGTACAATGATATGTCAAGTATGTTTTGCAGAACCAAATCGATTCATAAGATTTTGTTTAACAGCCTTACATAAAATTCAATTAGCTCGTTCGACGTTTTACACCACAAAAGTAGTACACATGAATTTAGAATGTTACCGAAATACGTCGACGTACGAATTTGAAAAAATTCAACTATGACAGAACGTAGTTTTGCTTTTTTCTTTTGTTGAAAAAAGAAACAAAACATAAAGAAATATATATTATTTTTTTTCAATAAGAATATGAAATATTTGAGCACATTTTATAATTTCTTAATTTTATTTCGCGATTTTGTTTAGTTCGCTAAGAGAAATGGATTCGACGTATTTGGGTAATACGGCCGTACAAAACATTTTTCAAGATTTTTGTACGCTTCGTTGAATTTTAGGTAACGTTGTAACTTCGTTTAATGCAAAAAAGTTTAATGATAATGCTATTGTCGAACAAGCCCTTAAAAATTCAGATTTTCATTTATAATTTTTTTTGGTGTTGCATTACAATAACATCTCTGACAGCTAATTGTACCAACAGCTGTGTTGATGCGATTACGTTAGTAAATCTGCCTTGGCACATTGCTCAGCCGTCGATTATGAATTGTTATGTCGCCGATATTAACGTCATTTCTATTCCGGTCATTTTGTATAGTATGTAGCTGAAAATGAAAAAAAAACATTAAAGGGCTAGACAGAATGTTCGCGTTGAGCGTTTTTTGTTATCGCGTTAACGCACGCAAAAAGTTAAAATATATTTAACTCGGAGCGCAGCGCACAACAACTTCGAGCGTTTGTGTTATCGTTTCCTTGTGGTTGTTGTATTTTCGATAACACATAACGCAACGGATGGCTCAACGCGAGCATTCTGCTTAGCCCTTAAGGGAATCGTTTAAAAAATTATTTATTTAATTCCATTCAATAACTTAATAAAATTCATTTACAAAAAATAATAAACATCTATTAAGAAAGACGTGGGAACGATCGATAAAAACAACTACTCCATGATGAATTTATACAAGGATCGGTATGGTACAATAATACAAATAATACAAGGTAGGATACAGGCATGGTATAATTATTACAAAGTAGGACATAGCTACCATTTAATTACAATTTTTGTGCCATTAAACGACATGTACATGAGAACTTTTTGCAGGGTTAATCTACTGTATGAGGATTTATTTGACAAATATGCAATGAAATTGGCAATTAAAACGCAGTGGATTAACTAAAACCGGTACAATGTAAATGCACTTATTACTATACAAGGCATGATGCAATAATAAGGTGATGTATCAAAACAAAAACATGTTTTTTTGTCTCGATTATCTGTCAAATTTTTCCTTAAAATATTTCAAAAATTTGGCAGCATTGCACACCGAATTCAAGTAAAATTTACCACTTTGACAGTTAATCAAGACATCACCTGCTCTAAATGGACTACCTATTCATTGTGCCATGATACAAGGTAACTGCAAAACACAGCTGATGCATTTTTTTTATTTAAGTGGGCCGCAGACGATCACGCATGCATGACATCAAAATCATATAAGTGTGCATGAAGCTTCAGCGCACACGGTTCATGCTTTAATGTTTCATTTGATTTCGAGCTGTACAGACAATGTCGAAAACGACGATACACTTTTTTCGATTTTGTCCTTGTGCTAAAAAAATAGAGAAAATGCTTAAAAAAAGGGCTGAGAACGACCGGCATACTTCCAACAACTCTATAACATTTTCTTCACAGTATCCGACATCTCTGTACAGCCATTCCCTTTGAAAAAAACGTCACAAATGAGAATATGCATGATGCCTCCACCGCAAACACGTCAAAATCGAACGTCATGCATGGGAAAAATCAAAAATTTGTAATTTTGCTTCATGCATCGTGGGTCTGACACATACATACACATTTTCACTAGCACCACAAAATGCATGTCATGCATGCATGACCGTTTACGGGTCACTTTATTCTGACATTATTGCCCAAAAGAGGTGTGTGGTGGTGGCGCTGTTAACACTCGACAATCGGGAGGCGGGCCAATAACTTAAAACACAAAAAAAAGGTAGAGGTGTATTTTCTCCTTTCTGACAAAAGCTTTCCTACCTTGTATAATTGTACCATGGTTGTAGTATCGTTTTTCTACAACAACACTTGCTGTTATCAAATTAAAATACATTTTAGTTCCGTTCCAGAATCTAAAAGAATCTACTAATTTTACAAGTTTTTATTCGAAAACCGTTCCTGAATCCACAAAACTGGTAAAACATTGAATCAAATTTAAGAGAGCACAAAACAAAATGGCGTTCTCTTTGTAAACTTTTTACTCGAGAAATTTTTCCGAGTAAAAATTGTAAACAGGAATGTCTGCTTCTGATTGGCTGTTCTGTTGATTTTGAAGTATTGTCATTTAATTTTGGCATATTTACTAGATTTGCGTTCCCAAACTTTTCAAAATAAGCTGTGTTCCCAAACCTGCAATATAGTACTATATTGTACTAGTTTTGCAATTTTTGCTAGAAAAGCGTTTCCTTACGTCGAAAAGTAGGAAAAATTGAAGTTAAATTTAAGAGAGTTAAAACCAAAATGGCGTTCTCTTCTCCTATTTTCTGCAAGACCAATTTGGCCTAGCACAATGGTGGGCAAAATTTCTCTTAAAAATCGTTAAGGGAAAATAAAAACATGAATAATTCTAAGGAATTTAATTAATCTAATATTTTTAAAACATAAATAACATCTTAGGAAGTTCAAAAAATAAATTCATTAAAAAAATCGCGGAAAATTTAATATTAAGGTTAATTTTTGTTTTAACACCAAAAAATTTTAAGAGAACGCATCAACGCTGGTGTGCAAGTCTGCCCAACTATGGCCTAGCACGAAATAGTAAATGTAGTAAATTGTGAATTTGACATTTGATTGCCAGAGATATACAGTCCGAAATAAAGCATATGAAAGTTAGGGCTTCAACAAAAAGGAAACACGCACACACATTTGCTTGAAAAAAAAACAAATAGGAAATTTAAAAATGGACAAACAGATTTTTTATTATCTTTTGAAGGATAGCGAAGAGGAATGACTGGCAGAAGATTCAGATGAAGATACTATAGAATGAAGATGTGAAGATGAATGTGTGTACATTGGTCCAAAATATCTTGGGCTTAAGTCAATTTTAGGGGCTCCACTTGGATCACTTTGACATTTTTACAGTAAGTAGTCCTCGGTGAACTGATTACAGTGATATATATTTTATAGGGAGAAATGCATACTTCCCGCGATATGGGTCTTAAAAAGTACCCGATACAACTTTTTAATGATACCCATATTGGCTTGGTGGCAATAGAAAAAGGGTTTTAAAGAAAATATGTTCCGAAATTTCAAGGCCAATATCTCGGGAAGTATGCATTTCCCCACATGAAATTTATATATCTGTGATCCGAGTGGAGCCCTTAAACTTGACTTGTTCCATATCTTGTTGTTCAAGTTTGCTAAAACATTCCAATCAAAATATCTACCAATTTCAATAGCATTAACATTTTGGGAGCGTCCAGCCATGTAAAACTGCATGTACATTAGAACTTTTTACCGGGTTAACCTACTTTATGAGGATTTATTTGACATATATGCAAAGGAATTGACAATTGAAACCCACTGGGTTAACGAAATCCGGTTAAATGTAAACGTAATATAAGCCTTTCCGGACTCGGAGTCGTCGGAAACTCCACTTCCAAATATTCGATAATGTTTTCCTCTAAATTATACAAATAAAAAAATAAACAATAAATATTAATATTATCAAAATCACGCAGTGGACGCCGTTTAATTTTTTGTTTAATTTTTTGTAGTCTTTTTTTGTCCTTAACAAATGAAATTTTTGATTTTGTTTGTTTGTTTACATTTTTCTGACAAATGAGTTAACACTAGAAGAACTTACAACAACAAATTTCCATGCGTTTCTTTATGTATTAAATATTTTTCGTTCCTTTACTTTTTGCGCAAATCTTGTATGTGAGAGTAATTTTGGATATTTCACTCTTTTACTAGCTTTACTATCAAAAAGTACGGGAACGAACCTATAATTTAGAACTCTGAGAGCGATTATGAAATGTTTCCCTTTTACTAGATTTACTATTAAAAAGTACTGGAACAGGCCATTTGTTTTCCAATAAATTAAATGAAATTGAAATATATTCATATATTTTTATAGCATATGCCATGGTGCAATTATAAAAGGTAACAGCAAATCCCAGCTGATTTGATTCCAACGTAATACTGGTGTCAATATGAATTTGACAAATTATGTTTTTAAAAACCACCCAACAGGAATATTGGGAACGCATACAATTTGAAATTGTTCTTCATTAATGTGCTCCCGTATTCAATTTACTCAATCTGCCTGCTGGAAAGTTTGAGGAAGCAAATCTTTCTTGAAGGAATAACTCGCTATTCCCAGCATTTTCATATGTGTTACACATATATATGACAATGATAGATTTTTTTTCATTGATAGATTTTTTTTCATTCATGTTTTTCAATTTTTATTTTGAGGATTCGAAAATATTTCATTTGCAAAGTAAAAATAAGTTGATGATAATTTGTTTGTTTGTTTACATTTTTCTGACAAATGAGTTAACACTAGAAGAACTTACAACAACAAATTTCCATGTGGTTGTTGTATCGTTTTTTGTACAACAACACTTGATGTTATCAACTTAAAATACATTTTTGTTTTCAAATGATTTAAAATGAAATTGTTTGCATAATTGGTGGTGGCGCTGTTAACACTCGACAATCGGGAGGCGGGCCAATAACTTAAAACACAAAAAAAAATGAAATTGAAATATATTCATATATTTTTATAGCATAAGCCTGGAAGAAATTTCTATGTTATTAATAAAACAAACATTTCATGGTATCCCAATTTTGGGAAGAAATAAACTTTCATAAATTGTTCGCGTTTAGTTATGTGAAAAAAATTCAAATAAACACAACAACAATATTTATTTTATATTTGACGTTAGAAATCCACTACCTAATCAGTGCTTTTCTGCACAAGCACGGGAACAGAAAAAATGTTATTAAAAAAAATGATTAAGGGGACCCCCCCCCCATTCTCGGGGTCAAAATTTTTGTTGACTTAATTCCAATCTACACTAATTCAAGAATGTCCCTGCAAAATTTCAAGTTAAAATCTCAAGAACTCTTGAAGATATAGCCGATTTATTGTGACAGCATCAAGTGACGGCTGAAGGGCTTCTCAAACTTTAAACGCGTTTTTCTCTAAACATTTTTTTGCGAATGGCGGGCACGATAACTCAAAAACTAATAACCCAATCGATTTCAAATTTTTACACGTTTCTCTGTGAGTGTATAGCTATCGTATGAACTAGGATAAAGCCAATCGGTTAAGATCTTCCTTATTTTTTAACTTGGTTTTTGGTAAAAAATTGACGATTTTCCAAAAATATTTTTTCAAAGGTCCGCCATTTTGTTAATTTTAGAGCGAGGTCAATAATCCTAGTTCATACGAGAGCCAGACATGTACTCTTTCCAACACCGTTGGAATTTTCGGATTCCGATGTTCCAGTGAGGAGTTATCATGCCCGCCATCAAAAATAAGGACTTTTCTTTGATCACAAAAAACAACAACAAAACAACAACAAATTTGTTTCGTAAATTATTTTTCTTCCTTTTGAAATCTTCAAATATATATGTGCAAAGTTACAAACCTTAACAAGTATTGGTATTCATTTACCAGCCCATTTAAAATCTTAAAAATAAAAAATCGAGAATGGGGGTTCCCTTAATAGAAGATTTTGCAGGAACAAAACATATAATCCATATTATTTTTTATTTAGTATTGAAGTTTTGTCCTTTCATATTATGGAATAAACGAAAAAGCAAAGTTCTTTCATCTAAACATAATTGTCATATGTAAACCTGTAGTAAAATCATTTGTTAATTTTTCTCACAGTGTAATATGTTGTCACTTGTTATAAGGGAATCTGGCAACACTTGCAATGGGGCTAATTACTGAGATTATTGTGATTGCTCTCATTGTTGTTGCAATCAACTATTGCCGGAAGAAATCTCATCAGGATCAAGAAGTTTTTGTTAAGGACACGGATTCACCGAAAATTAAAGAAAAACATTCCTAATTATCAAGAAATATGATTGAAAGTCAGTGTTGAAAAAAATATATATGTACATACATATATTTCAAATAGAACTTTGTTCTCCATTGAATGTCATATGGGCATAGCAATGGGACACATCCGTAGATAGACATCGGGAATTACTATAAAAAGTGAAGAAAGAAACTAAATAAATTGTATTTGTTGATGTTATATATTAATATGTGCTTGGGGCTAGTTAAAAAATGGCCTCTATGGTATTAAGTATATGTAATTCCCATCCCGCTGGCTTACATACAAACTCAACATTGGAATTTCATATACTTTGTACATGGTATTATCTATTAATCTATTATATATTCGTTTTAGAACCGATACCACAAAAAGCCCACATTGGAAGTGCCATTATATCCTGCATTCTTAGTTTAGTTATTTATGGAACATTACGTTTTTATGCCGAATGGTTTACCTCCACCCAACTTACTACAATCTTTGGCGGTTTTGTCAGCTCATTTATATTCATCTTCAGTTTAACTTCCCTGTCCAATATTGAAATGCTGCTATTTGGTGAAGATTTCGCTTGTAAATTTATTCCTGAAATTGTTGTATGTTTGCTCGTATCTGTCATGTCAGCCGGTATTGTACATCGTGTATGCGCCACAACTTGGTAAGTTAAAAAAATGATACTAATGGCATTGAGTGTTAAATTGACTAATTCACATTCTGTTTTCTAGTATTCTATTCTCTATTTTGGCATTATATTTCATCGATCGTATTTCCAACGATTGTTATCATAAGACAGCCGTTGCACCCGAAGCCATACATCACCGAAAGGGCGGTGGCAAGAAGAATAAATAAGCATTTAATTGTAAACAAGTTCGAAACTTTCGTCAGAATAAACAAATTCTCGAATATTTTGTACATTCGCAACAAAGGATGCAATACTAATAACACGTATATTTCAACATTGTATTATTTTATGATGATATTTTAATAAAACGCAAAATTTTATATTTAGATCTTAAAGTACGTAGTTGCATTGATTATTCTTGTTCTTCGTATGTATTTAAATATTATTTCAATAGTAAAGATATGGAATTCCCAATAGGGCCTTAGAGTACATAAGGATTCCGACTTTCCTTTTTTTAACTAGAAACATTGAAATGAAGCAGACCTTAGTACATTCTGTATAAAAATGGTGAATATATTGCCGTGTTTCTATTTTCCCCATTACCAAATCAAATCGGAGCCCTAATATTCAATAATAAATTGTACATATTTCTGTGTCCAATATCCTCTATCTGAATAAATGCTATCCATAGAATTGGAGCCTATTCGATAAAATCTTACAAAATAAAGTATCACATCAAAGAGTCACATATAAAAATTAATTGATTTAGTTTATTTCAATGTTTAAATAAAATATATCTCATATTATATTTTCTGCAATACTTATTTTCTTATAACAATTGCCTGAATAACTTTAACATATGTATGTAATAATGTTGATTTCATAATCATTTCAATATATAAAATCATGAAAATTCAAAAAAATTGAAACAGTTTTTGCGAGTCAAAGGGAAAAAATCAGATTCAATGTAACTCCTATTTGGAGATTTTCTTTTTTTTTTTTTGTTCAAATATTTCATTTAAATTCAAAAGATAAAGTGTATTTTTTTAATTAATTTGGAATTAATTGCAAAGAAAGCAATAGATTTGTACGCTGCTATGAGGTGAACAGATCATATCGTGGTTTAGAAACAATGTTATGGCAATCAATAGGGACGAGGTGGTGGCATTGGCATCATTGGTCCACCAACGGGATATGGTACGCCACCACCACTGCCATATGGCAAACGTGGAGCTGGATAGAAACCACTTGACGGTATATTGCTGTATGCCGGACCAGATCCCATATTTCGACCGCCCTGAGCTTGACGTTTCATCAATTCTTGCATTTTCTCAGCCTTTAACCTGCGCAAATGCATGTTTTTGCGTGCAGCTAAAAACTCCTCCAGAAATGCTTCAACTGTTATTTCGTTGCCAGTGAATTTCTTAACAATTTCTTCGGAGGCCTCTTCACTTTCGGCGGCAGCCGTCTGCAGTAGAGCTAACGCTGTCTCTTGGCTAACACCTCCGGATTTTTCTTTGATTTGTGCAAGCTTTTCCTGTACTGCCTCACAGCAACGTTTACCCTCCTCATTTAGTTCGGCTATTTTCCCTTTTAATTCTATGATCTGTGGTTCTTTTTCGATGTTACTTTCGGCCTTGGTTCGATTTTCAGCAAACAAACTGTCTTTCTGGGCCTTCAGTACTTCCAGAACGGTGTCAATTTTTTCATCCAATTTTTCATCGTTGTTGAGCAGATCCTTCAGTTCGTCCGTGGACAGGGGATTTATGGAAACGTGCAACTGATTTAAATACTCCTGATACATTGTGTATGGAGGATAAAAGCAAAGTAGAACCAACAACCAACTATTCCAAGATCCTATTATTTATTCTTTGTTTTGTTGTTTTGACACACTGACGTATGAGTAATTGCGTCTTCTTCTTGTTTGTGATAACAAGAGAAAAGAAAAAGAATGGCCCACTTTACACTACTTGTCAAAGGCGTACGTTACACTATTCGTTCACACTATTCGTCATGAGAGTTTTCTCTCTCTCTCATTTAGTTGGGCTATTTTTCCTTTAAATTTTTTGAACAGTTAATCAGCTGTTTGTAGTTCCGGAACGAACAAGTTCATTGAATGACACTTCGTTTTGTTATTCACTATAACATGATAACACATTCTATGGACTATAACATGGTACAATTATAAAAGGTAACAGCAAATCCCAGCTGATTTGATTCCAACGTAATGCTAGTGTCAATATGAATTTGACAAAATATGTTTTTAAAAATCACCCAACAGGAAAATTGGGAACGTATTCAATTCGAACACGTTCTTTATTAAATGTCCTCCCGTATTCAATTTACTCAATCTGCCTGCTGGGAAAGTTTGAGGAAGCAAATCTTTCTTCAAGGAACAACTCGCTATTCCCAGCATTTTCTGGCTGGCAATGGCTCAATTATAGTAAAGATGTGGAAGCGATAGAAAAATAAATTTGATATATTTTCATACATGTATTTCAATTTTTATTTTGAGGATTCAAAAATATTTCATTTTCAAAATAAAAATAATTTGATGATGATTTGTTTGTTTGTTTACATTTTTCTGTCAAATGAGTTGACACTAGTAGAACTTACAACAACAAATTTCCATGTGGTTGTTGTATAGTTTTTTGTACAACAACACTTGCTGTTACCCTTGCATATTAGAACTTTTTACCGGGTTAACCTACTATATATATATACCATGGGACTATAAAATAAGAGAATTTACGTTCTCGTCTACATCGTACTGGATTTAACTAAAAGGATTTAATTAAATAGTATAATAAATAATAAACTAAATGTGAAATTGGAAAAATTTGCCACTTTTTCAGTAGGGGAACATAATTACATTACATAAAATCACACATATAGATACTTTTAATATATTAAAATTAAAATATTAAATTAATAAATTAAATTGATAGCACTTACCAAGTTCGTGCACCTTCTTTAATTTTAATTTACGCTGTTTTAAAATCGATCGTTTTAAATCACTGTTTTAAAATCGTTGAATAGATTCTGAATGATTTCCATATAATAGATATAATAGCCCCAATTTTACTTGTGGCACAATTATTCAAGGTAGGCCATAGCAACTTATAAATTACAAATTTTCATACTGTGGCTTGTTATGCCAAAGTCATATAAAAATGTGTGACTGTGTGTGTAATGTTTGTAATTTGATGTTTATTTTACATAGTATTCAAAACACACACGTACACAAAATATGTATTTTGATTAGATGGAACAAGCCTCCATGATAAAAAATTTTAATCAGTTGGTAGCTGTGCCCTACCTTGTGATAATTATGCCATGGTCTCATGCAGTCATATGCTTGTTTTTTGCATAAACTTGCTTTTGGCAACATTCAGTTTTCGAAATTTAAATTCAAAATTAGAGTAGCTCGACTGTATAATAATTTGCCACCTAAATTAAAAATATTTAGTGTTTCGCACAAAACAAATTCTAACAGGCTGCTTCAGCATTTTATAGCACGTTTACATTATACCGGATTTCGTTAACTCAGTGGGTTTCCATTGTCAATTTTATTGTATACATGCCAAATAAATCCTCATAAAGTAGGTTAACCCGGTAAAAAGTTCTAATGTAAATGCCGTTTTAAATAGTATTTTTACGCATTTTTCCTAATGTTGGTCTGTTCCCGTACAGCAATCATCTAATTATTTTCATTATATTATTTTGATATATTAAAGGAAAATTTTTAAGCGTTGTAAGAAATTGTACAATGTTTTTTTATTTTTTTATTTAAAGTATACTCTCGAATTGTAGGGTAGACTACAATTAATTGATTACATATTTATGGAAATATAGTTTTGGATTTTTTGTTTCATTATCATGGCATAATTGTAATTGTACATATATTAGGTAGTCTTAAGGGCTAAGCAGAATGCTCGCGTTGAGCCATCCGTCGCGTTATATATTATCGAAAATATAACAACCACAAGGAAACGATATGCCCTTTATGTAGTCATATGTTTCTAATTTTTTCATAACTTTGACTTTGACAGTATTCGCCTTTCAAAATTTAAATGAAAATGAAATTAATAATGGCAACACTTGTAACTTATGCATCAATTAAATAAAATTAAAAATAAATTCCATAAAAATTTGGGTATGTCGATTGGCATATTTTCAATAAATTACAAAATTATATTTTCTAAAGCTGCACATTGTTCTCAAAACTTAACTCTGGTTGTTACAACTTATATTTATATGTTTTAGAGGCAGGGAACTTTAAAATATTTATAAATATAAATGATTTAGAAAATTTATGAAAAAATTGGACTGCATGAAACTACTTTGTTTAATTAAGCCATGGACAGCAACCAAATATTTTTGGAGTAAATTAATAAGTTTGTATATATAAAAAAACATCAACTGAGTGATATTAATATCACAAACACATACTATTTAGCATTACTAAATACCAAAATAATACGATATAAAACAATTACTTTCCATTTGATGTCAATGCATTAATTATTACACACATATATACGTACCCGTTTATGGTGCACCTTATATCTCAATTAACGTATAGTAACCTAAATGTTTTTGGGTAACCACTTCCGTACTGTACAATATTGTTGTCTCACTCACACTCGCGATGATTTTTTTTGACAGACAGAGTCGAATGATGGCTTGTTTGTGTGTAACGCCGAAGCTTCGACTAAAATGGAGTCATGTCGTTGTGCAAAATTAATTAAAAATTTTCAATAAAATACATTAAAAAAAGTGAAAAAGAAGTGATACAGTTAAAGAATAAGCCCATGGCTATCGAATTCAATAAAAGTTTATTGGCAAATTGCATAATTAAGCAGTGAAATCGAAACGAGAAAAGAGGCAAGCGATTTTCTCGCCAATCGCAGGCAGGCAAACTTACATTCAAGCAAAAATATATTCGTGTCCGAAAGCGAAGCTAGCCAGTGTAGATGGTTGCTAAAGCCAACTAAATCCGCAAAACGGTTCGTGCATTCTGTGGATATTTAGATATATAAAATTGAAAAAAAAGAAAAAATGAATATTAAAAGTTAAAAAAAAATAATTGTGTAATATAGAAAAGAGACAATTTTCAGTGGTCATAACAGAATTGGAGTGAAGTGGAAACGTTTGGAAAGAAACTCTGTGGAAATATGGTGGAATAGTAGATATCCATTTTCGTTATTATAATCTCTTCAACTAGAGAAGTAGTGATTTATTCAAATGGAATTTGATCGCTTTAAATTATTGTTGGATATAGATTTTTTTTCGGAATTAGAAATGAAAAATGCAACATGAAAACCAATTGAGTAATTCATGTATCCATAAATTTGTGTATATTAATTGTCTGTAGATAGAGCAGCAGCAGCTCACTCTCATCGTCGTCGTTCCTTGTTGCCTGCCTCCTTGTGAACGTCATCGTGTCGTCGCCACCTTCCAGTCGAAACACACAGAACAGAATTGGTTGGTGCCACATTGGGACGGCGTTAGAACATTGGGCTGCTGCGTTTTGTTTTTGCTATCCATCGAAATACCTCATCCAAAGTCAGTCATTCGGTGTGGAGTAGTTTCTGTTCGGTTTTGGTGGCAATTTCACCCTTTGAACTGCTGTTGTAGCCCAATACCATGCCACTGATTCTGATCATTTGGCCTACTCTGGTGGCGGTGGCAGCGGCAGCAGTGGCTGCTGTGTAAATCCGTCTTCAATGTAAATATAATACGAATAAAGTGTTTTAGTGTAGCAGCTACAACAACAACAGCAATAAATAATAACGTGCTATATTTTGCAAATGTGCATTATGGCTGAAAAATACACAAAGCGGCGGCCGCGAAACAAGTTTTGTTGTCGTTTTTATTTTTTTTATTTTTGCATTGGGCATTTCCATTTCCACTAGATAACAATAAAAACAACAACAACATTGACAATATCAAACAACATGAAATCGGCATTAAAAGTTGTAATAGATTAAAGAGAGAATAAGCGAGGAAGACGAGAACCACACAAAAACGAAAACACATTTTACCATCTACTCATTCCACTCATTTTCCTTCTTTAATCTATTATAACCGACATGCAGACACTATAGCTATCCTTTTCCAACTCACAGCGAAAAAACGTAAACAAGACAAAGACCTCCTCAGTAGTATAGCAATCGACATTGTGTATGTGTGCGTGCGTGTGTGTGCAAAAAACAAAAATGTAATGGCAGAGTAACGTTAAAAAGAAAAGAAAACAAAAACAAGACGAAGAAGAAACAAAAAGAGAAATACATTGAAAGAAAACAAAAATAACAACAACGAAACAAACAAATGTGAAATGAAAAAAAATCCCTTCTCTCTCGTTCTCGATGAGTAGTGTTGAAGTATATTAAAAACAAAAAAATACACAAGTGAATAGAAAGCAGAGTATAGCAGCAGTACTGAGAAATAATAAAAAAAATATTGAAAACAAACACAGAACACAAAAACAAGGAATTCCATTTAATTATTTGTTCTGTTGCAATTTATCCAATCGACCAACAACTAAACAAATTGTTAACCTTGCATTTGGGGCTATTGGGCTGGCGAATGGTTGCATTCAATGCTGTCGTGGAGAATTCCATTTGCAGTTCATAATTGCCGATCACATTTTGTTGTAATGATTTGAATGTGTAAGTTATTAATCTCTTCATATTATTGCCATATTTCTTTTAGTAATGTCAGTTATTTTTTTTTTCTTGTTCTCCTTTCGTTTTACATTTGGTTTTGTTGAAACTTTTGCGAAGGCTGGTTGGTATTGAC